TGATGGAACATTACATATAAGCAGCCTCACCGTAGACAGCCATCAGTATTGATCTGGCTTTTGTGTAGGCAGGTAGAGAGAGAGAAAGAGCAGCATGAGAACCAGGGAGGAAGACAGTCACCAGCGCCCGGGCACACCCACCCCTGAAGCCTCGCCTCACCTGAACACTACCCCATCATATGACCACAGTCTCAGGGATAGCACTAGCAGCGTCTCTTCCATACTTAGCGTGAGCACTTACACTTTCTACCATTATGGATACTTTTATTATACCTGTACTAAATCCGATGGTATATATAGATTGTGTAAACCTGGAAATAACTGGTTTGGCAACCGAACTGTAGATGTGTAGCAGTGAATTCTTTAAGCAGATTTAAAGTTAGAAAAATACGTCAGTAGGCCTTACCTCTCTCGTACCAACTGGCCTTCTGCAGTGCTCGTCCAGCATGCATTGTATGTAAGACATGCCTTGCATTGCCCAATAAGCTTACTACAGTCATCATCTATTGTGTATTGTGAATGGAATCTACTTAGCATGGTACCGACAGACCTATTGTCCTCGTCTAAATGTGAATATGACCTACTGCATGGGTCCATGTAGTATGCATTGGCTTTGCAAAGCTCCTGGTAGGCGAAACAGCCCTCGTAAATGTTTCATTACCTCTGACAGTTCAACAATAATAGTCCTGATGAGTGAGGTAAGAGAGAGTACCGAGTGGTCAGCAAAATAGTTGGCCGAGTGTCTTCCTCTCGCTCTGCCTCACCCAATTATTATACAATCTATCCTCTTAAGATAGTCTTTTTTCTGTATGAATATAAGCCGATTTCTTTATATATGCCATTTTAAGTAAACTTAACATCGATTAAGTAAATTTAATTAATTATAACATATCTTAAACACGAATGGAAAACCGTTGTATTGAAAGACTGTTTTGTAAGCGTCCCAAAATGAGTTATGTTAAACAAATCATACCACGGGCGGGGATAGAACCCGCGATCAGAGTCTCAAAACTCCAGACCGTCGCGTTAGCCACTGGACCAGCTAGCCACAATAAGATTCGTCCAACATAACATGATTAACATCATCTAACATAACATGAGTTACGTTAGCCTGGATGCTGATATAGTTTATTACCTCGTGTATGAAACCCATTCTGTGCAATGGGATATGATAGAGAAACAGCTACCTTTTATTCCTACAATGTAAACCGTACAGTTTAGGGTAGCAGCTAGCAGAAAACAGGGAACCACCAAATTTGTCGAAACTCTTCTTTCAGTCGAATACCGGTAATTATAACAATTACGACATTAGGAAAAAGCGGAGAGGTAATCAGTTCTGTAATTTTGATGCGTGGTCCAAGTCGGACCGAAACGTCGTCGTAAGCTCCCCTCTCATATGTGCGGGTTATTTGTGTACCATCTCTTATACACCACATAAATATTGTATGTTCTAGGCTCACTCAAGAGCACCATTGTCTAATATATATTTTGGCCAAAGAATGATGGGCGAAGACTAGCTTGGGGTTACCGACGATTGCTTAACTATGGTCTTGAAGATTTTCCCGGGTGAAGGTCCCAGACCAGACTTACCTGTCGACAGCCTCATCAATGAGGCTGTTAATGTTTGCTTTAAAAATAAAAACATATCAGATTGTACTGATGAAAGAAAAAATAGAAGGGTTAATAGGGATTTGGATTTGAGACAGGTGGTGGACTAAGCATAAGGAAAGTTTATATAAGATAAAAACTTGTTGGACGTGGCCATGACCAGTGATTATAGTCAGGTATTGAGGTATCCAATGAAGATGTAGAACGTTTTGGCCAAGGATCATTTGGATGGTATTTGGTATCTATACCTAATTATTTTAATTGGTATACATACACACGCAACACAGTGCCCTATTAACAAAGTTTTTGCCTCTCAGCTTATTAGCTGATACAGAAGTAATTCCAATAATGAAGACAGAAGTGGAGAGGTAATCTGAGGTGATAGTCTTGAAGACGATGGTCAGTTTCTCAGTGTAAAGCATAAGACCAGAAATTTATACATTGGAGTTAAACGATGTGTAGCAGCTATGAAATGTATGTGAGTGGGGCCCACTAGAGGTAAATAGGCCATGCTATGAAAGTTAAGACACATGTGCAACATCTGGATATCTTTATTGTAGACGTTTCGCCATCCAGTGGCTTTATCAATACAGATTCTAGGACATAATAGGAGACAGTAAACTATATACAAAATGAGAGTAATCAGTCCCTGATTACTGATTACCTCATCTTTGTATATAGTCTACTGTCTCCTTTATATTGGTCCTAGAATCTGTATGTGATAAAGCCACTGGATGGCGAAACGTCTAAATAAAGTATCTCAGATGTGCCATTGTCTTAACTTCATATGTCGGTATTTTATACCTTTCTTGCACAACAGGCCATGCTATGTTGTTGTTAGCAGTAGAGTTGTTAAAAGACATTCTCCTGTATCAAGATACCATGGTGTTGCCGTGTCAGTCAAGTATATTATAAATGTTATAACACCATAACACTGACAACACAGCAAGATCATAGTATCTTGCTTAAGAGAATGTCTTCAACAACTGTCTAGCATGACGTATTTCCACAAGGGGGCCCTGGTGACCGAACCTGACCTAACTTAACCTTTTCTAACCCAGCCAAAACTTCCGGCCTCCCTAAAATACCCATAAGCTGAATCATCATGGACTCAAATGTCTGCTGGCCAAAATGTCCATGTATTTTGGTAGTTTTGCATGGGCAAACATTTTAGACCAGTACAAATAACTGGCATCCATACCTAACCTAACTTCAGTTATATATACATGTACGTATATACATATATTTTTTCAACAAGTCGGCCGTCTCCCACCTAGGCAGGGTGACCCAAAAACAAAGAAAATCCGCAAAACGAAAATGTGTCCATCATCATTCAACACTTTCACCTCACTCATACATAATCACTGTCTTTGCAGAGGCACACAGATACGACAGTTTAGGAGTCCCTCCAATTATTATTATTATAATCAAGGGGTAAGTGCTAAACCCGGAGGATTAAGGAGTCCCTCCAAACTACCAATATTCCAAACCCCTCCTTTAAAGTGCTTCCCATTTCCAGGACTCAAGTCCAGCTAACCAGTTTCCCTGAATTCCTTCACAAAATATTACCCTGCTCACATTCCAACAGCATATAGACAACCTAACTGGACCTGTCCAATATAATTGAATCTAGCCTAACTTAACCTAACCTAAACCAACCCAGCCTAAATTAACATACTCCAATTAACAAGCCCCCTAACCAAGCTGAAATATCCACCCTCCCCATCATAACTGTCCAAAACGTCCTAAGCCAAAACGTTCTGTCCAAAACGTCCATCCACAAGGTAACGCATGCCGAAGAGAGAGTCATTGTACTTACCTGTGGTCGAGCCCTCTTGCTCAGCCTACCTCCCATGCTTCACCACCTACCTGGAGAGACAGGAAACACTTGGTTATCAGTTCTCAGTATTGAATTAAGAGCTGTGGGGGTCCCAAGGCAAGCAAGTTGTCAGGGATCCCTTCCAATAAAACTTTAGTGCTAAATTTCATACTGTAATTATTATACAATTTGTTCACAATATAAAAATAACCCACAGAGGAGAAATAAACTTATGACGACGTTTCGGTCCGACTTGACCATTAACTAGTTAAATAATTATTGGACCGAAATGTTGCCATGAGTTTCTTTCTCCTATATGCGGGTTTCTTGTACAGCCTCTCCTCACTTAGTGATATACTCGTTTACCGATACCTCAGACTTACGATGGGCACTCTGATGGGCTTTCTGACCAGTATTTATATCTAAATAATGTATATTAGAAGTGATTTCCTCTATTCTGTTTATTTCAATATACAGTACACTACTGTATAAACATTTAAAAATATACAGAAATGTTATAAATGGTGCAAAAGTGACATTAAAACAATAACGAAGATGGTTGACACAAACCCACTACCATTATAGTATGCTCCTCACTTAGCGCCGAATTCGTTTAACGAAGTAGTCTTAGGAACGGAACTCCGTTGTTAAGTGAAGAGAGGCTGTATATTGTTCCGTTCACAGTATTGTGCCTTTTTATTCTTTATATAATTTGTTAAACTCCAATTATTTTTCCTATAGATGTGAACTGACACGAAAAGCAGTCATTCGAAATGCAATTAGTTACAATGCATTGTTTTAGTGCCCGAATTGATTTATGGGGGCCCCTTTTGTGTGAGGGCCCTGGGGCTAGCATCCCTATTACACCTCACCTTCTTCCTCTTTAATCCAAAACTGAACATGCTCACCACACTGTTACTCAAAGATGATAAACACAAACTATGAGAGACAAGGCACAGTACTACAAGCAACAATAATTTAGCTCTAGCTAAAGTATAATTAGATCAAAATTATGCATTACTAACAAGTTGATGAATGAGACATGTGCAACATCTGGATATTGTACATGTCTTATCAATTTTTCTCTTTAGAAAAGCAAAACTGAAGTCTTGCCACTCCCTATATTTTAAAAATGCCTACCAAGGGGTGGCACTGATCAAGCTGGGCAACAATGTTTTAAGGCAACATGGGCATACATATCAATTAATTGCAAAGTACAGCTATGTCAATTTTACACCTGGGATGAAATGGAATAATCATTATGCCAGGCCCATGCTTGGTAATTTGGAATAGCTATGGGGTTACTTCTCATTGAAGTTTTAGAAAACATCTATTTAGAACACATTCAGAAAAACCATTTTAGTAATAATGGTAGAATTACTAGTAAAATGTTAGGTAAAATGACACTTTCTCTGCACTGGAGTGAAGAAGCCACTGGCTAACAATATATTTCCAGAATGAAGGTTCCCAAGTGTTGCACAAGTGTTATATTTATCATCTTGCCAGTTTTCTAAACCATCTATTCAAACTATGTTAGATATAAACTAAAAAAATAATAATCTTTCACCCACAGGCTGGTTCTGCAAGCTTTACAATTGGTGGTGCCACAGTGAGTTCAGTATCAGATGGATCGACTAGATACATACTGCGTGACTCTGCACCAATACACAATAACCGTCTAAATGTCATGAGCAGAAGCCACAATGAAAGACTACACCATGCCCTTAGGACACCCACCCCAGAAACCTCAAGATATGAACCTAACTTCATGTTAAGTTCCCAACTCTCAGAATACCCAAAATATGACTCTTGCTACACAATGCGATCAGCCTCTCCAAGAACCTTGCGCAAGTCTGAATCTAGATACATGGTTCGGCCAAAAATTCGTACAGGAACCAAACAATTTGACCCAAGATTAATACTACAGCCACCAACACCTGAGCTTCCCCGAAGTTATGGATCCAAGCACAGTGATGGGCTGGGAAAGGAACGGAAGGAGGTCGAGCCAGGCACTCTATACGACTCATATTGGCACATTCCTCGAGCTTCACTCTGGTGTTCACACAAAGGCTGTGTGTATGATTCACAGCCTTGTAAAGAATGCCAGTGGAAGGTAAGACAGTGTCTCCTATTCTGATAAATTCTAGTAAGCAAGTAAGTTTATTTAGGTACAAGTACACATAAATACAGTTACACAAGTAATCATACATAGTAATACGTGTAAATTACTGTATTTAAGATAACCCCAAAAAAGTCAGACACAGTGACTTATTTCCATTGGGGTCTAAGACATATGGTAATGTACCTGTACTAGTACAGGCACAACTTACTAGTAATTCTCCAAATAAAAATAAGTCAAACCCCCAAATTTACAAGAGTGACATTCCTAGAGGACTCTCAAGTCTGGAGTGTGCAAATAAAAAATTCTGCCCATGTAATATATTTTGTTTTGCATTTCTGCTCATTTTGTGTTTCACAGAACATATCTCTTTAAATTAAAATATCACTAATCTCATTAATATTGACATTCATAAGAATGTCCAAAGTCTGAGTGTGGGAAATCCATTAACAAGGTTTTGAATACAATTAAGTGGTTAGATGTTCAATTTAAGGATCGTCAACTTCATAAATAAAAATTGACACCATTAAATCACTTGTGAATAATCAAACCTTATTATAAATGAGAAGCCTTTATTATAAATGTTGTAAAATTGTAGCAAATGAATTATGGAACTCCACAGTTTGGGTGATTGCATAGGTCATGCCAAGCAGGTCAAAAGAAAGCCAAACTGTCATAAATATGTACAGTGTTTTGAAAAATTGCTTTTTTTTTTTTATTATTATTATTGAGATATACATTCAAATTATAGGTAGTAGATTGGCAGACAGCAACCGCCCAGGGAGGTACTACTGTCCTGCCAAGTGAATGTAAAACGAAAGCCTGTAATTGTTTTACATGATGGTAGGATTGCTGGTGTCCATTTTTTCTGTCTCATAAACACGCAGGGTTTCAGGTACGTCTTGCTACTTCTACTTACACTTAGGTCACACTACACATACATGTACAAGCATATATATACACACCCCTCTGGGTTTTCTTCTATTTTCTTTCTAGTTCTTATTCCTGTTTATTTCCTCTTATCTCCATGGGGAAGTGGAATAGAATTCTTCCTCCATAAGCCATGCGTGTTGTAAGAGGCGACTAAAATGCTGGGAGCAAGGGGCTAGTAACCTCTTCTCCTGTATATATTACTAAATGTAAAAGGAGAAACTTTCGTTTTTCCTTTTGGGCCACCCTGCCTCGGTGGGATACGGCCGGTGTGTTGAAAGAAGAAAGATACATTCAAATCAATTAATATTGTATGAATATTTTTAAATTCTGCACCAGAATTAGCTTAGCAACATAACTAGGAATATATTAAGACCACTTACTCAATCTGAGTAAATCAGTAAAACTTATTTTTTTTTAGTTTTTAACTATGACCGAGTAGTATGTTTGCATAAAGTCAACCCAACATGAATCTTATTATATGCAACTAGTGACAGCATTACAACTGAGAAGTAATCACTATATTTTTTCAACAGGAAGAATGCTCATCAACATGTTCATCCATCAATCCCCCACCAACATTTACAGCACTTGACAACTACCGCCCAGTCAGACCACGCCCTAAATGCCACCAGTGTAGCTGTGGCATCATCTTTGCCATTACTACAGTTTTTTCACTTTTAGTTCTTCTGCTAATAACAGGCTTCATTCTCTATATTGAAAGTGAGTGTAAACAAATTACAATAGCCCATTTTACTTAAAAAGTGAGAGAGTGAGAGAGTGAGTGAGAGAGTGAGTGAGAGAGAGAGAGTGAGAGAGAGAGAGAGAGAGAGAGAGAGAGAGAGAGAGAGAGAGAGAGAGAGAGTGAGAGTGAGAGTGAGAGTGAGAGTGAGAGTGAGAGTGAGAAGTGAGAGTGAGTGTGAGTGTGAGAGTGAGAGTGAGTGAGAGTGAGAGTGAGAGTGAGAGTGAGAGTGAGAGTGAGAGGTGAGTGTGTGTGTGTGTGTGTGTGTGTGTGTGTGTGTGTGTGTGTGTGTGTGTGTGTGTGTGTGTGTGTGTGTGTGTGTGTGTGTGTGTGTGTGTATACTCACCTACATGTACTTGTAGGGGTCAAGTCTTAGCTTCTACCCTGCCACTTGCCAGATTAACTCCCTTCTGGCCTCGTAGGCCGTATTGCACTTACTCATGCCTGCCTTCACCTCTTCCTCATCAAGGTTATTCAACTTTCTGACTGACCACTCTCAGACTGAAGGAATGTTTCATAAAATCCATGTCACTCATCTCCATCTGACTTCCAGCTGTGTCCCCGAGTACCTGTTTCCCACTTTTCAAACAGTCTATCCTTGTCTACCCTTTCAATTCTCCAGTATTCTGCTTGTTGTAATAATGTCTTCCTGGTTCTTCCGTCTTCCAACATTGTTAGATTCAATTCTGTTAGCCTCTCTTCACAGCTCATACCTCTTAGCCCTGAAAATAGTCTCATTGCATGGCTCTGAACATTCTCCATTTCCTTAACATGCTTTTCATACCAATGCTGAATACTCCAAGATAGGCCCAATATATGTAGTATATAGGGCCCTGAATAATTCTTTGTGTCGAGATTTCTGAAGGCATCTCTTAGATTGGCTAGACGAGCATTTGCTGCAGAAGTTATTCAGGTGATGTGAGCCTCTGGTAATATGCTAGACACCATGGTTACCCCTAGGCCTTTTTCTGAGTGAGGTCTGCAGCCTATGTCCCTTAATTCTATACTCTCTGAATGGTTTTCTTGCCCCTTCTCCAACCTTCATAATCTTGCATTTCCTGGGGTTGAACTCAAGTAGTCACTTATCCAACCATTCATTATGCCCACATCAATTTGCAGCCTTTCTCTATCCTCATCTGTTTTTATTCTCCTCCAGCCTTACATCAGAAAACAGGGATACATCTGACTCAATCCCATCTGGAATGGCATTCACATAAACCAGAAGCAGTACTAATCATAATAACGATCTTGCAGAACCCTGCTTATTACTCTTTCCCATTCTGACATCTCTTCCTGGACAATTACTCTTGGCATCCTTACCCTAATATCCTCTTTAATCTACTAGAGTACATTACCTGTTATTTCTTTTTGCTTCTTTCCCTGTTGTGTGTATGGCACCTAGTACCTGTCTGTGTACTCTTGTTTCCTAGGCTTTCTGCTAATGCCCATTTCCACTGAGAAGACTTCTTAAAAATATTTGTTCAATACTTTACAGACTTCTTTGTCACTTTTCCTGAGCTCTCCTTCTTTTTGCAGTTAAATTACCTGGTTCTTTACTGTTGTCTTTCTTCTGATGTAGTTGTAAAGCAGTTTTGGTTTAGGCTTGACCTTTACTGATACATCATTTTCAAATTGTCACACAGCCTCTCCTCACTCTTGCATGTTTGTTTCTGGCTAATCATTTCACTTCTCTGTTCTCATCTATCCTTTGCTTCCTTAGCATATCTACACTCTGTTTCTCTGGTTTGCCCCTCTGACTGAACCAAGGTCTGTGATTTTTCATTTCTGGTTATGAAGTTCTCTGCCTCCCAACATTCTCCAGCTTGGTACTCCATCTCATCCACTGACTTCCCTGCATTGCATCTGGGAACCCCCCAATTCCTTCCAAGTTCCCACTTCTAAAGTGTGTGTGTGTGTGTGTGTGTACATGTATGTTTTACTCAAATTTTTGGAATGTCAAACATACAATACCACAATCCTACTATACATGAATGTCCATTCATTCAGATTTTGCTACCTTTTCCATAAAGAATTAACATAAAAAACATAGTGTCCTAAACTTACACTATTCCTGCATTACAACCACTCATCCAAACAGGCCACTTAAAAGTTTGACACTACAAAAATGTGCAAAACATAACCCTCCTTAATATTAATGTTTTCAATGAGAAAGCATGTTCCGAGTTACAACCAAGTCATTTGTCTGTAGAAACAGCAGGAATGTAAAACAGTAATACGAACTGTATTTGTATGTTAATATAATATGTAATATTATCTAATTATGTTTTTTGCATAAAAGATAAATTAGTGTAAGAAATACTATACTGTTACGACATTTTTATAACCCTATATTTATTCTTCCTACTAATCAAGGCAGTTCATAACTAAAAATAATTCTAAAATTAGATAGAAGTAGCACTGGGTAACACTAATGACTATTTTATTCATTGCAGTGGTCCTGAAGCATCAAACAGCGACAGTTACAGACCGGATGTAAAACAAGAAGCATTTCTCTCATGTGTCATGATAGCATATGAAAGTCCTTTCATTATGTACATATACGAGAGAGAGAAAGTACAGTATTTTAGTCTTACCAAACAGGTGTTGGTATGAAACTAACATTGTTAGGAGCCCTCTGCTTCTTATACCAAAGATTTACAATCATTTCAATTCAGTTCCTCAATATCTGACAGTATCTCCATTGTGTATATAGTCACCAAGAAGTTACTAGGAAAACCAAAAGCCTAAATTTTGGGGTACAGTATCTATTTATCCCTCTTTCATCTACTCACTAAAAGATTTAAATATTGTAATACTGGATATCAATTTAGGATTAAAGGCAATTTTTGATAGTGTCCAAGAGACAAAGCATTGTGATCTCTTGTCTGTTATGTATTGTTGGCATGTTATATCCTCAGCAAACAGGGATACTGATTGTTAATTTAAATTGCAGGATTTCATGTCTACACTATATGCCACTTCCACTGAGGGTCTTAAGCTGACATTAATTTCATCAGACTCATTTTATATACAAAGACTAGCAGATTTATTTAATATCTTATAATTCAACATGACTAGTCTCTTTGTTTATATAAATTAATAGTATGATGAAGCTGTTCACTTGCCAGCTACAGTTTTGTACTTCATACACCAAAAAAAAAAAAAAAAAAAAAAGACCTGTTTGACTAGGAAAAGTATATCTAAGCATTACAAGAAAAAAAAAAGTCATTCCTCCATAGTAAAGCCAAAGGAAGTTGTCTCTTCACTGTCAATAATATAAGAAAATCCAGCAGTTGGTAAACATTTCCTAGGAATTTCGGCTGATGACAGTAAGTTACTTTTAACTGAAAGACTGATTATTACTATATTATTACTATTATTATAATTACCATTAAACATGAGTGGCATGAGTACCCAGGGCAGGAAAAGTATACAAAGAAGAAATTTAAATTAAAAATATTAACATATCAATGCGCTCGATATGGTTGAATATGCATCATCAAATACTGGTATGAATCATAACACTTATACATTGCAAGCCCAATATTTTGTAGCATTACGGCCAATGCAGTATTGTACTTTACTGTAATACTGTACAGTACTAACCAGTACCTTAATAATATAAAATCACTGTGTGAAGTCTTGCATTACTCTTTTGAACATTATATGTTAGTTTAAAATTAATCTGTGGCATTATTCCATTAACTGTGGATCATGACTTACTGATATATTAGCCTCAATCTTAATTTTACAAACTAGATTGATATATCTAGAAACATAATGTGTAAATAATTTTTCATGCAGTTCTTCCTATTTAATTTCAAACACAGTTAAAAAACTATTGGGTAATTATCCTTTTTTTTTATTCTAAGGTCATCTGGGTATTAGGTAAAAGTGCCAAAACCTATGTAAATAGCAAATCAATCTATAAAGACAACTGCCCTATGTATAATCTTAATTTGGCATAATTATCATACATCATGTCACTTAAGTTTTATATGAAATATGGATCTTATTTAGCTAGTCTTCAGTAAAAAAAATTCATTTAACCTTTCAAGGTAGACCTGCAAAGTGCTAAAAATTAAAAATTATTACAAAAATAACAATATTCACATTACCCTTAAGTTTGGTAAAGCTCAAGGGCTTGTATAGTCCAAATATACTTGGAATACGAGAAAACAACAAAAAAATAATAGTAGTTTTCCTGCTTTATGATAAGGATGGACTTTTGTAAATTTGAACTGGTGGCCCATGCTGATATTGTCAGGTAGTTATCTGTGATTATCAGTCATTCCAATGACTGTCATTTAGTGACTTACGTCAACTTTGTTATTGATGTGTAGTTAGGATTTATGTTATTCCATGAATACGATTTTCAATAAGCTACTTTTCAATGACTAAATTTACCGTTTTTTTTTTATAGTACATTAGGTAAATGACAGCACTGATTATGTCAGCCTTTGAGAAGGGGCATACATCACAATCCCATGACCCACCGAACTTCAACATTCTCACCCATCTTTCATTCACCAGATCTCAAGTCCAGTTAGCCAGTTTTCCAGAATCCCTTCATATATATTACCTTGCTCACACCAAAACACTTTTCTTCACTCACGACGCTCGAAACACTTTCACAAATGACCGCTGGATGCTGAAACCTCTGCCATTCAAAACCTTCATCACCCCCTCTCCTCTTTAAATTATAAATACCTAACATACTAATAAACTTCTTTCTAATCTCTATGCTTCTTATTCTCAGCATAATATTTACAATACACACTGATCTCAAATATAACATCTCCACTGCCTCCAGCTTCCTCACTGCAATATTTAAAGGCTATGCTTTATATCCACATAAAATTGATGGTATATATAAATAATGAGATATTCGTCTCACTGCCTCTAATAATCCTTTTTTTTTCTACAAATGTTTCAAAACTTCACCTGCGTTTCTTCCAAAGTCCATTTTTTCAGCTTGTTTTTCAGTGGCCCATTTGCCACTTCATGCACTTCAAATATCTACATACATTCACCTCCTCATTACTCTATCCTTCAAATCTTTCATTTTTTTATTTATTTTTCTTATTCTAATACCTTGCTCTTGCCTATGTTCATTTTCAACTTTCTTTTACACTCACTCCCAAACTCCTCCATCAGCTTTTGGAATTCTCTTCACAATCCCTCACAAGCACAGTGGAACTGTGTTATTCCAGTCATGGTACAGTATTGTGCCTTTTTATTCTTTAAGAGTATACATATATACATATGTAAATGTATGAAATATAACCACAGTGAAAAGTAAAACCAGTATTATTACAAGTGCTTTAGTGATTTCTCATATGAAGAAGGAACAGTGAGATCATGAAAGTGTTTGGCATAATACTGTTTTTCACTGTGGTTATATTGCATATCAAGATATCATCTGTTTCTTGTGATCTTATTGCATATGTAAATATATATGCATATATACATATAGTGACATCTAAACTTTCATATCTGGACACCTCTGCAAAGACAGTGATTATGTGTGAATGATGGTGAAAGTGTTTCTTTTTTGGGTCACCCTGCCTTGGTGGGAGACAGCCAACGTGTTAAAAAAAAATATATACATATACCATTCACTGTGGTTATACTACACATACATTACACATTTTTTCTCAATAAATTTTACATCTTATATGCCAAATACTAAATACATATGAAATTTTACTTTATGGACAATAATACCATAAAATCTCATTACATTCTCCACATATTCAAACCTTCCCACAATATTTCATGGAAAAACGTTTACTACCATCTATATATGAGCTACTTTTCAGCACAATGACCAAAAGGTTTGTGATTTCAAAGGGTTAGTATTATCTCATTTTACATACATTTAGATATGTTGTAATTATCATAAGAACAATGTATAATATATGTCATACATAGTTTAAGAGCCTGGCATTCAATAACTCACTGTACCTTGTTTTGTACCCTATTTAAAAAAAAAATGAAAAATAGGCAAATAAATATATAGCTGGTGCTTTTACATTTATTACAGAGATTTCACAGCAAGTTTCTGGTTAATCCTTCTATAAAATGTTTAATTTTTTAGTAAATATAAAGCTATACCTGGAGGGTGTTCTGGGTGTCAATGCCCCCAGGGCCTGGTCCATGAATATTTAGTAGCTGTACAACTACTAAATATATATATATTTTACATATTTTATATGATGCCTCCCAGTACTAATATCTAGACTCTGTGAAAGTTCTGTAATAGCTACCATCCTATCACAGTATCACTCATTGTAGCACGTATTAATGCATGATGTAAAAAACATATGTGTGTGAATTTGCTTTTCTGTGAAGAGCATTTGTTATGTGACTAAATAAATTATAAAAGAGTAATAGATTTTTAATGAGCCCATTCATACTGGTTTCAACTATCTACGAATAAATCTTTTTTACCTCATAGGCTATCTCTCGTCAAGGTATTGTGATCCAAAAAAGGGGAAAACACTCACCATCATTCATTCAACAGCTGTCTTCCTAGAAGTGCACAGACTTCACAATTCAAATGATTTTCCAAACAGTAACACTGTCACACTATTAAAAAAAGCGCTGAACCTATATGAGTTATGCAGCTAAACTCTCAAAACGCCATCACAAAATATAGAAATATAAAAATTATCTTGGTGCACTTACCAACAATTTAGTATTTTGTATGTCATTCCCTGCAAATAAGAACATCCTTTAATCATTTAGGAAATGATTTACATAAATTCTTGAGGGTTTCTTGGGGTAAATTCTCCCATGGCTCACAGATGGCAACCTCCAGCAGTGGGAGTGAGCTTATGTCCTTTCCCTGTAGATCACTCGTTACCACACCCCAGAGGTTCTCAATGGGGTTCAAGTCTGTGGAATTTCCTGGCCAGTCATAAAAGAAGGGTGATTCACAGTCATGAAGCCAGTGAACATTATTATTATTATCATCAAAGAAAGTGCTAAACTGACAAGGGTCAAGCCAGTGAACAACTAATTTAGCAGTGTGGCAAGGAGCACTGTCATCTCGCCAACACTGAGCACTAAACCAGGCCAAACCATTAGAGCTTCAGGGTGTTTTATGGTATCAACAAACGTAGTGTGGGTTCAAAGGGTTGTATTCTGGGTGTTTGTAAACATTCTCACCATGGTTGTAGGTCAATGTGAAAATGACTTCAACACTCCAAAGACCTTAACTCTATTCTTCCTTGGTACATATGTAGGGATGTTTTTCTCAGCTTCTCTGAATGTGCTTTTGGTATGGGCATGTCATCACCACCATCCTCAAGGAACCAATGCAACTGGCTCCTCACTGAATGCTCACACACCAATGTTTTCCACTATTTCCTTTGTTTGAGAGCTTGCCTTATATAATCAAATGATCTGTGCAACTGTCTTGTATCAGAGACTTATTCTTGCTCGTATTAATTCATCTATAACCAAAAATGTCCAACAAACTTGACACTTAACATCACATGGTGCAAGGAGACCCCACACACACACATCCACCACACAAGCCCAAAAGGCACTGAGCATGCAATGACTAGTCTAGCAGAAACCTGTGGCATCACACCACAAGTTGACAGACCTGAATAAATCTCACTCTAAAACACTTAACAAGGTCAAGTATTACTTTCAATATTAATGACTGCCGGATAAAGGCACCCGGCATACTTGAATAACGAGCACTGTATTTACTGTGGCAGGTGCAGCCTCCACCATTTATGTCAGTGACGTAAATAGTTTAGAAATATTTTAGAAAATATTTCCACAAAGATTCCTAAATGCTGCACAAGTGCCTCATTCACTAATTATGTTTATTCCCTTAATGAAGTGCTTGGACCTCGAACCCACAGTCTAAAACCTACTAGTGTGTCGATCCTAATAAACCACAAAGTCAAAAGAGTTCTCCAAACAGTGATAGAATAATGGAGTGGTAGTGGGATGGACTGACAACCATAAGGCTACCAAGATGTCAGTTCAAAGACTGAACAGTCCACTGAATTATTAAAGTTTTATTAAGAATTTTCAGCCCATATCCATTCTTACTGATATTCCTTGCAACCACACACTCATTCACCTTATACTATTTCTTTATAACTTTCTTCTTCCTTGTTTTATTTTTCCATATACGTACTGTGCTGCCATCTTCCAGCTTCACTACATACATCGACTATCTACAGTATATCTTTCTTCTTTCAACACACTGGCCGTATCCAACCAAGGCAGGGTGGCCCAAAAGGAAAAACAAAAGTTTCTCCTTTTACATTTAGTAATATACACAGGAGAAGAGGTTACTAGACCCTTGCTCCCGGCATTTTAGTCGCCTCTTACAACATGCATGGCTTACGGAGGAAGAATTCTGTTCCACTTCCCCATGGAGATAAGAGGAAATAAACAAGAATAAGAACTAGAAAGAAAAAAGAAGAAAACCCAGAGGGGTGTGTATATATATGCCTGTACATGTATGTACAGAAAGGTGGGCTAGTGCAAAGATGAGTAGTGGGGGGGTTGAAGAGGGTTGGAATAGTTTTAAAAATGCAGTATTAGAATGTGGGGCAGAAGTTTGTGGTTATAGGAGGGTGGGGGCAGGAGGAAAGAGGAGTGATTGGTGGAATGATGAAGTAAAGGGTGTGATAAAAGAGAAAAAGGTAGCTTACGAGAGGTTTTTACAAAGCAGAAGTGTTATAAGAAGAGCAGAGTATATGGAGAGTAAAAGAAAGGTGAAGAGAGTGGTGAGAGAGTGCAAAAGGAGAGCAGATGAAAGAGTGGGAGAGGCACTGTCAAGAAATTTTAATGAAAATAAGAAAAAATTTTGGAGTGAGTTAAACAAGTTAAGAAAGCCTAGGAAAGGTATGGATTTGTCAGTTAAAAACAGAGTAGGGGAGTTAGTAGATGGGGAGAGGGAGGTATTAGGTAGATGGCGAGAATATTTTGAGGAACATTTAAATGTTGAGGAAGACAGGGAGGCGGTAATTTCATGCACTGGCCAGGGAGGTATACCATCTTTTAGGAGTGAAGAAGAGCAGAATGTAAGTGTGGTGGAGGTACGTGAGGCATTACGTAGAATGAAAGGGGGTAAAGCAGCTGGAACTGATGGGATCATGACAGAAATGTTAAAAGCAGGGGGGATATAGTGTTGGAGTGGTTGGTACTTTTGTTTAATAAATGTATGAAAGAGGGGAAGGTACCTAGGGATTGGCGGAGAGCATGTATAGTCCCTTTATATAAAGGGAAAGGGGACAAAAGAGATTGTAGAAAATATAGAGGAATAAGTTTACTGAGTATACCAGGAAAAGTATACGGTAGGGTTATAATTGAAAGAATTAGAGGTAAGACAGAATGTAGAATTGCGGACGAGCAAGGAGGCTTCAGAGTGGGTAGGGGGTGTGTAGATCAAGTGTTTACATTGAAGCATATATTTGATTTTTTTATGTTTTTTTTTTTTCAATATGGCTTTGCAACAGGCAGGGTGAAAAGAAAGAAAATCCCAAAAAAAATATTTGAATAGGTGTAATTCTAAACTTTAAAACTTTATGGAGAGGTGTATCTAAATCATTTGACACCTCATCACCTTACATCTTTTACTATTAACACTTTCAAATTACTACCTTTACCACAGGTTCCAATAGCTATCCACTAACCTTTGCAATTTTTCGTTAGAATCAGAAGAGTAATGGGGATAAGAGGGTGAACTGTTTCAAACATTTAAATTGATTCCCCAATTGAATTCTGCTCTCCAAAGGGGGGGGCAGGAGCATTAGTGACTTTGAAATGCCCATCTATAAATATAATAGAAAACCATAGGGACATTACACAACGTTTTTAAACAGCAGTTTAACGGAAGTAGTATCTGATCTACACACAGAACGTGAAGGACTTCGTATAAAGTGCTATACAGAGCAGATGAATAAGGAGAGGCACCTGTCCAAAATTTTAACGAACTGCAACAAATTGGACCTATTCCAACAATTAAATATGCCTTAAAATCATAAATTGCAGTTAAAAACTTCCATAGTTTAGTCAGAACTGTGCAAGATATTCAATGTAAACACTGGAATTTGGAACACTCCTTAAAACCTAGCCATGCGAATTCCTACTGCCGTGTTACCTTAATCTTTTCAATATAAGAAACAGAACTTGTTGCGTGGAGTACTCAGTAGCTAAATTCCAAAGGTTTTTAACAGTCTCTTTTGTCCCCATTCAACTTTATATAAGGGAACAGAGCTCTCTGCAATGCCTGGTACCTTCCTTTTATAAATTATGAAAAAAAGGTACCTAAGATTGCGAGACACTGTATACGCCCCTTTTTAAGGAATGGCGCAAGAGATTAAATCAATTGCTGAAGCTTTACTGAGTATACCAGTAAATGCCTCACGTAGGGTTATCACTTACAATTGATGGTACTTTCAACTGTAAATGGGACTGACAAGCTCCTGAGCGGAGTGCATGTTACTGCCAGTTTTTACCTTAACATTTGTGAACAGTATTTAGATAAAGGTAGGGAAGTTTTTATTGCATTTATGGATTTAGAAAAGGCTATGATAGAGTGGATAGAGGAGCAATGTGGCAGATGTTGCAAGTATGTATATGGAATAGGTGGTAAGTTACTAAATGCTGTAAAGAGCTTTTATGAGGATAGTGAGGCTCAGGTTAGGGTGTGTAGAAGAGAGGGAGAATACTTCCCGGTAAAAGTAGGTCTTAGACAGGGATGTGTAATGTCACCATGGTTGTTTAATATATTTATAGATGGGGTTGTAAAAGAAGTAAATGCTAGGGTGTTCGGGAGAGGGGTGGGATTAAATTATGGGAATCAAATTCAAAATGGGAATTGACACAGTTACTTTTTGCTGATGATACTGTGCTTATGGGAGATTCTAAAGAAAAATTGCAAAGGTTAGTGGATGAGTTTGAGAATGTGTGTAAAGGTAGAAAGTTGAAAGTGAACATAGAAAAGAGTAAGGTGATGAGGGTATCAAATGATTTAGATAAAGAAAAATTGGATATCAAATTGGGGAGGAGGAGTATGGAAGAAGTGAATGTTTTCAGATACTTGGGAGTTGACGTGTCGGCGGATGGATTTATGAAGGATGAGGTTAACCATAGAATTGATGAGGGAAAAAAGGTGAGTGGTGCATTGAGGTGTATGTGGAGTCAAAAAACGTTATCTATGGAGGCAAAGAAGGGAATGTATGAAAGTATAGTAGTACCAACACTCTTATATGGATGTGAAGCTTGGGTGGTAAATGCAGCAGCGAGGAGACGGTTGGAGGCAGTGGAGATGTCCTGTCTAAGGGCAATGTGTGGTGTAAATATTATGCAGAAAATTCGGAGTGTGGAAATTAGGAGAAGGTGTGGAGTTAATAAAAGCATTAGTCAGAGGGCAGAAGAGGGGTTGTTTGAGGTGGTTTGGTCATTTAGAGAGAATGGATCAAAGTAGAATGACATGGAAAGCATATAAATCTATAGGGGAAGGAAAGAGGGGTAGGGGTCGTCCTCGAAAGGGTTGGAAAGAGGGGGTAAAGGAGGTTTTGTGGGCGAGGGGCTTGGACTTCCAGCAAGCGTGCATGAGCGTGTTAGATAGGAGTGAATGGAGACGAATGATACTTGGGACCTGACGATCTGTTGGAGTGTGAGCAGGGTAATATTTAGTGAAGGGATTCAGGGAAACCGGTTATTTTCATATAGTCGGACTTGAGTCCTGGAAATGGGAAGTACAATGCCTGCACTTTAAAGGAGGGGTTTGGGATATTGGCAGTTTGGAGGGATATGTTGTGTATCTTTATACGTATATGCTTCTAAACTGTTGTATTCTGAGCACCTCTGCAAAAGCAGTGATAATGTGTGAGTGTGGTGAAAGTGTTGAATGATGATGAAAGTATTTTCTTTTTGGGGATTTTCTTTCTTTTTTGGGTTACCCTGCCTCGGTGGGAGACGACCGACTTGTTGAAAAAAAAAAAAAAAAAAAACATGTATGTGTAATGTGACCTAAGTGTAAGTAGAAGTAGCAAGACGTACCTGAAATCTTGCATGTTCATGAGACAGAAAAATGGACACCAGCAATCCTACCATCATGTAAAACAATTACAGGCTTTCATTTCACACTCACTTGGCAGGATGGAAGTACCCCCATGGGTGGTTGCTGACTAACAACCTACTACCTACATCTACAGTATGTATGCTCTCCTATATTTTGTTCTATAACCTTTTTTTTTTTATTCCATATACAGTATTCTTTTACACTGTTCATTGTTCTCCAATCTTCTACCACAGCCAGTTCTCACAAAATGCATAATATTTATTACTTGCTTCCTCACTACATCTAGTAATACACCCAGGTTTCTTCCAAATGCATAAGAATGTACACAACATAGGCAAAGGGAAGAAGTAACAGGCAGTGTAACAAATTGGTTTCAGTTAAAATCAGAGAATCTCCAGTGAAGGTGAAACTGTCAGAGAGAAGGGAAGATAAAGCATGTCATAACTTTAAGGAGAGGCCATAAATAAATGAATCATGCTCTCTGATGAATGGAATAAAAAATATCAGAGTGTCAGTATGACCTGTCAGTTCTCATAGTGACATCAGATGCCCCCCCCCCCCCCCCCATGATTAAACAATGTGCAAGTCTGTGAATAATATGATAATTCATGAAAATCATTTCTTACAACTGACATTAATGTAAGAAAGATGGTCCGAAGCCCAACTATGGCTTAATTAAAAATAGCATGTCAACTTATGCAAACCAGTGAAACTGCTAGCAATCTTCTCAGTGCTGAGAAAGAACAGGAGATATAAATGCTCTGGACTACAGCACAGAATGTGCAAATAAATTCAAAAGTTAATTGCCCTAAACTCTAGATAACACAATAAGCAAAGGATAATGGGCTCCTCTTCACTTCATTTGTTTAGTGTAATTCAACACTTGTCATGGTGTAACTGTGGTTTAAACAATAATAGAATGTGGATAGCTATAATGATCTAAAATAAACATCCAACCTCTACCAGAAAAATCAACATATCCAGCAAATACAACACCATACTTCCCTGACCATACAACAGCTGCCACCACTTGATAGCAGCTGGACCACCCCCATACTGCCATCATTCTTATGCAAGCAAGAAATGCAGGCATCATATTTCATAATATACACAACTAAGTCAATATTATTATAATCATGAGGGAGTGCTAATTATTATTATAATCAAGGGGAAGCGCTAAACCCGGAGGATTATACAGCGCCTGGGGGGGGGGGGATGTGGAAGGCATTCAGGCTTAATTCGGGGAACTGGAGCACAGATCCAATTCCCTAAATCAAGAGCCCCTCACCAACATCAAGGAACCTTCCTTGAGGGGAGGGAGTGCTAAACCCGTAGGATTATACAGAGCATGTGGGGGGGATGACAGATATTCAGGCTCAATTCAGGGAACTAGAGCACAGATCCAATTCCCCATATCAAGAGCCCCTCACCAGCATCAAGGAACCTCCTTTGAGGGGATGACTAAGTCAAGAAAAGAAGAACTACTGCAAAGACAAATACTATGTCTATCAGCCATCAGAACAAACGTAGTGAGTGGCAGGTAGCATCAACAAGGAAGGCCATTGCTGTCTCCGTGGTAAACACAACCTCAGCTCCCTCTGCCCTAAACAACACTACATCACCTGTGAACCAACTATTTAGTGACCTTTTCAAACATTCATTTATGCAGTCAGAATTCATCCTTGGCAATAAGCAGTATCTACAAAGACTAAAAGATAATTGTCCAGCAGGCAACTAAAAGGGAACACATTCAACACTATTCATGGTCCTGCCATTAGTGTGCTGACATCAGTTCAGATAACTTTCTGTACTGTAACATCCTCACCCGTCCTTTAGAGTACAGGCACTGTACTTCCCATTTCCAGGACTAAAGTCTGGCTAACCAGTTTCCCTGACTCCCTTCACTAATGTTAAATTGTTTACATTCCAGTCAGTCAAACTGAGTATAATAGATTATTATTATTATTACAATCACAACTAAGCACCAAAACCATAAGGGTCATAGAGTGATGCAGATTATAAGAGACTATTTTATTTTTTACCTCAACTTCTTGTAGTGTTTGAGTCCAACGATATTTGTCCAAGTCACAGCCATTCCCAGCATTTGGCTTAAGCTTTCCTTTATCTTCTTCTTCATCATCATCATCCATTTTCTCAACTTTCTCAGGCTCTTTAGTCTTTGCAGGTTCCTATGGAAAATAATTATAATGTACCTATCTTGTTAAAGCAGATCAGCAGACAATTATTAACCCTTAAACTGTCAGTCACGAAGATCTATGTCAGTGGGATCAGCATCAGTGCTGAAGATTTATTATAAATCAAAGCATCTTCAAATTTGGCACGAGGCCTAGAAGGCCTAGGAACAACAATACTGGTCTGAGTGGTGGGTGTACACAGTGTATACATTAAATCTTGGCCTGCACAGTGAATCATGGAAACAGCTAATCTCTGACTCTGTGCTTGGATTAAAATAGTGACACTGGTCATTTTCTACATTGATTTTTGTGGTTTTATTGCCTGTTTCTTAGTGTCAATAGATACATCAAAGGGCATACTAATTAAATTTACAAGATTCAAGTGGATTTAAGACCAGAATTAACCTGACACAGGCATCAAATTGACAAGAAATGGCCAATTTTGTGCGATTTTCCTAGGGATGAGTGGGGATCTTTACCCAACGTAACAACTTAAACCATGATCAAGCATTTTTTGTTACTGTTTAGTAGCCAAAAAAATGGGTAAGAACTGAAGTTTTATGTTACAATGGATTAAAAAAAGGAGGGTGTTATATGTTAAGAGGTCTGGGAACATGATTAATGAACAGAGGGAAGGCTTCTTTAGTGGCTGGAATGCCTAGTGTTGGCTTTAAATTATTATCTATAGAAAAAGAGCACAAAACTAGCCAAATTCCCGACTTCTGGGCACTTAATAGGATAGCTCTGATGGTCAAATGGGCAGTTTCTTTTGAGTACCAAATAGGATGGAAGGCATACTAGCAAAAGAACTGGGAAATGAGTGAGTTTGAGCACTGGAATTAGCCGAAACTAGATCTCAAACTGAGTGAAATCACCGTTGCTTTCCAACCTCCAAACTCACGCCTCCATAATTCTGTAGGTTTGGAGTCGTTATCTTTAGAAAATAATTCTCTACCATTTAATGATTTTTTTTCTTTTAAAAATATAGACTCTGAAAGGGCTTTCAATTTGGGGGCTGCTGACAGCTTAAGGGGTAATAGTGTATATAATCCATGCAAGTTACAATGTATTTACATTATTATTATTATAATCAAGGGGGAAGCGCTAAACCCGGAGGATTATACAGCGCCTGGGAGGGGGGGGATGTGGAAGGCATTCAGGCTTAATTCGGGGAACTGGAGCACAGATCCAATTCCCTAAATCAAGAGCCCCTCACCAACATCAAGGAACCTTCCTTGAGGGGACAATGTATTTACAATTTCAAGTAAAAATACAATGCTTTAATAACAAATATTATCATGGGTGGGCCTTGAACCCATGGTTCAATTATTATAAAAATCATGGGGGAGCACTAAACCCACAGGATTATTCAGTGCCGGTGGTGAAAGGGATGGAAGGTATTCAAACAATTCAGAGAACTGAAGTACATCCAATTCCCTAGATCAAGAGCCCCTCACCAGCATCAAGGAACCTTCCTTGAGGGGACCCATGGTTCAAGGCCCACCCATTGTGATTTGTTTGCAGTCGTGTTATCATGACTTTGTGAGTCAACATTTAAATACTCCTAACCACTGTTGGCACACTAGACGAGTTTCTCTACCAAGCTAAATTCTGTCCCTAGTGATGAGAGAGACTGAATACTTAAACCAAGTTGGTCACAATTTCATTCAGTTACTGTGGAGATTTAGTGACAACCATACTGATCTTACCAGCAATTATTCAACACTTTACATACAGTGAACCCTCGGTTATCGGCCATTCCGGATATCAGCCAACTCGGTTATTGCCCGGTTTTTGGGCAGAAAATTTATTTCAGTTATCGGCCATTATTTCACTTATCGGCCATACTGAACGTCCACTCGCCCGCCCGCCAGCCAGCCGCTCGCGCATTTGTGAGTCAATCTGGTTGTGTCTCTGGGCGAGTGAGGAAACTTCTGCTCGTTCATCCAAACATTTCACTATAATCCATTGGATTTTTTGTGGTTATTGATCGAGTGCAACTGCTAGATAAGCAACCATGGGGCCAAAGAAAGTTCCTAGTAAAGTTCCTTCGGTAAAGAAAGTGAGAAACACGATGAAATTTAAGAAGTTGTTGAAAAGTATGAGAGTGGTGTTTGAGTTCTAGAATTTGCCAGGATGTATGGGAAATCCAAATCAACAATCACTTCCATCCTGGCAAAGAAAGTAGAAATCAAGGAAGCTAATGTTGTGAAAGGGAGTTTAGCAGGGAGGCAGGGAGTGTAGTGGGGAGGCAGGACCCCAATGGAAATAAGTCACTCTGACTTTTTTGGGTTATCCTAGGGTCTTCACACACATGCTGTGGAAGGGAGGCAGAGTGTAGCAGGCAGCCAGGGAGTGTAGCAGGGAGGCAGGAAGTGTAGCATGGAGGGTGGGAGTTTAGCAGGGAGGCAGGGAGTATAGCATGGAGGAAGTGTAGCAGGGAGACAAGGGAGTGTAGCAGGCATGCAGGGAGGGAAGTAACCCCAGAGAGGGCTTTGATACCTGAAGTCCTTATGGAGGGGGATTCCCCTTCCAAGCAATAATCAGTCCTCCCTCTCTCCTCCTCCCTGTCTTCCATAAGCCAACAAGAGTCTTCAATAAAGGTATGAAATAGTGATTTAAATGTTCATTTATTTTATTTAGTTCTCATTGTTTTGTGTATGTAAAACTATAATTAATCTTTAAAAAAATTAATTATTTTTTGTTAATATTTTTGGATGTCTGGAATGGATTAATTGTATTCACATTAATTCTTATGGGAAATAACATTTTGGTTTTAGGCCGACATTCTGGAATGGATTACGGCCAATAACTGAGGGTCCACTGTACTTCTAAAAGCTTGCTACAAAAAAAATCCTTTTTAATCAATTATCAAGATGAATGTTAATAACAAAGAAAACATTATTCATCTAAATTTCATGCCTTCACATTCCTGAATCATTTTACTTGTTTTCCCTCAACACTAGGCGAGTACCAATAGAAAGCAGGTCTATCTTGCACTCAGTAAATGGGGGATCAAGCCTCCACCACATATGCTGAATTACCCACATAGGTTTAGTGCTTAATATGAATTATTTAACTTTTTCTTTCAACAGTATGGCAGATCTTGCCTGTAAGATACCATCTTGTTATAGAATAAATTATTCCCTAAGCAATTTCCTTATTTCCTAACAAACTTACAACTCAAAGAGGAAGTGTACAATTTCAATGTACTAAAGCTGGTATAAACTGACATCCAGAATAAAGTATAGTTGACCTGTATTATTAGAGCAATCTCAACATCATCTGTCACACTGTACCTGTGACAAATTTTTTTGTAATTCACTGGCTTCATCATCTGTAAGTTCTATAATTTTTGGCTGAGCATTTAATTTTTTCTCATCTAACTCCTTTTTCTTCATCCTTTCCTGCTTTCTCCTCTCCATCTCTTCATATTCAGCCTTTTTCTTCTCTTGTTCAGCTAATGCCAAACTCTGGTACTTCCTAAATTTCTCCATTACCATCTGTAGAAAAAAGAAAATAGAACAGTTTAGATGTCAATTATTTTCTCACTTAAACTAACCATATGTGAGGCTTGTGTTTTGTTATAAAAAGCAGAGATGACACAAGATACAAAAACATACTTTCAGTGAAAACCTAAGCCTTTTGGGAAAAATTAACATCTATATACAGTACAGAAGAAACCTTCCTCCATGTTGCACAAGTGTCTCCTCCTTCAATACAATAAAGAATGGATGATACTTTATAATCATGTGTCCACCTTTGTATGGCAAAAGAAAAAGAGGTGGTAGAGAGGGAGAGATGAAAGTGATGATGAAAAGAACAGTTTCATGATGGAATACGAGAGTCACAGTTGACATACCAAATCTGTATCAAATTATGAGTTGGCAATGAAGGAGGGACAGTCAAAAAAGAAGGCAAAGCATGGTGGGGCACTGAAGAAGACAGTTGAAATGAAGCTGGCATGCTCATTGAACAGTGGCACCAGACTGGTATACCACAAAAATAAAATAATCTTCAATAAAGTCAACCTATGAAACAACTTTTAAAAAGGCAATATAAAATTTCCATAAGACAATGAAGAGGTTGAACTGTACCATGACATACTCTCCAATGGTGGCTGGATGGTAATGTTTATTGTACAGTATACTGTATTCATATTATAATGGAGGCTCACCTTTTCACTAGTTTCCTGTGGAGCTCCAGTATAAAAATCAGTTTTTCTGGCAAGGAAGCTGAAGAAAGTGTCCAACAGCTGAAAAATTATATTAATTTAGCACGATTATATACGGTAAAAATAAAAAGATAAAAAATACGTTAATCATTCCTTGTGCCACTAAATGTTCACTTTATTTAACCATGTCTATGCACATTATTAATAAAAATCATTTTTATTTCTACAAGTACATGTATAAGGTATACAGACCATAACTGACATCAATGACATACTACTGTATAGAAAACCCCCTATTATGCACAGCATTTCGGGCAAATTAGGTCAATTTTAACCCAGGATGCAACCCACACCAGTCAACTAACACCCAGGTACCTATTTTACTGTTAGGTGAACAGGGACAGAAGGTGTGTTAAGGAAACACATCCTAACGTTTCCACCGGTACCAGGGATCAAACCACGAACTTGAATGTGTGAGCTAAGCGAGCTACCAATTGAGCTACGGGACAGACACAGGGCCAACACAAGGGCACTGTGTCCTAAGCAAGCCCTTATATGTGCACCCTTATCTTGACTTTATACACTGTGTACGTCAGGCCCATACTGGAGTACGCAGCACCAGTTTGGAACCCACACCTGGTCAAACACGTCAAAAATTAGAGAAAGTGCAAAGGTTTGCAACAAGGCTGGTTCCAGAGCTAAGGGGAATGTCCTATGAAGAAAGGTTAAGGGAAATTGGCCTGATGACACTGGAGGACAGGAGGGTCAGGGGAGACATGATAACAACATACAAAATACTGCGTGGAATAGACAAGGTGGACAGAGACAGGATGTTCCAGAGATGGGACACAGAAACAAGGGGTCACAATTGGAAGCTGAAGACTCAAATGAGTCAAAGGGATGTTAGGAAATATTTCTTCAGCTACAGAGCTGTTAGGAAGTGGAATAGTCTGGCAAGCGATGTAGTGGAGGCAGGAACCATACATAGTTTTAAGACGAGGTATGATAAAGCTCATGGAGCAGGGAGAGGGAGGACCCAGTAGAGGTCAGTGAAGAGGTGGGGCCAGGAGGCGAGTCTTGACCTCTGCAACCATAATTAGGTGAGTACGTACAGCACTCATAATCAAGGACCCTATTGGAAATAAGTTACCAACTTTCTTGGATTATCATGGGTAACTGGCAGATATGTTACTATCTATGGTAATTGTACTTATGTGGACCAGTACCTAAATAAACTTACTCCATTACTATAGTGTTTCTGTCTCTCAAAACACCACTGAGGTGTGTATTCATGTGTATATGCTAAGTGCTGGTGTGGGGCTCTTGATCCAAGTAACTGGATTTATCTTTGATCAAACCTAAATGCCTTATGGGTTTACCACTTCCCCCCTGATTAAAATAAACACTTTACAACATACACTGAGAATTTGTTTTAATCCCTAATTTAAAAATTAAAGAAATTCTTGACTGTGGGTGAACAGGTTACAAGCGGCCTTAATGACCCTCGTGTAGTAGATAGGCTTTAAACCACATTAACCAAATGATATGCACTGTGGTAGTAGTGAAACTGAAGAATAGTTTATTGTATAACATTTCTGCATATGAAGAATGATAAGTTTATTTAGGTACAGGTACACAAATACAATTACTATACATAGCTTAACGTATGTGTTAATTACCTAGGATACTCCCCCCCCCCAAAAAAAAAAAAAAAAAAAAAAAAAGTCAGTCACTTATTTCCACTGGGATCCTTGCAATGGGATGTGAAGCTGAATTTTGGCAAGCAGAAAGAGTACCTTTTATCCAATGCTTACTGTATACGGAGTTTTAAATGTAAATAAGACAAATAATTCACCTTACAGCGAAAATTAGAGCCCAGACCAAAAATGAGTTGTACATGCTCTTTAGTAAGTTTATTTAGGCACAAGTACAATTATCATACATAGTGTAAATTACACAAGATAACCCAAAATAGTCAAAGTGACTTATTTCCTTGACAAATGACTGTACACCCAATCAATCATTCTGAGAGTCAACAAGACCTGTTAAGTCACAAAGAATCACCTCGTGTCTCGTATGTTCAACATGGTCGCACGAGAGGAACCTTCTTTAAGGGCAGACCAAGAGCTAGAGCTTGCCCCTTCTCCTGCAAAGTCAAATAAGTGACTATAATACACTAGTTATCCTAGTGTGTAATTGGCTATTTAGATTACATCCTATAATGCATCTCAGTCATTTATCTTTAACATGAAAATAAATAATAAGCAAAATAAAGGTACGAGGTAAAATAATTAATGAAAAATAATAATGAAAAAATAAATGAAATATCAAATAATATATGCAGTAATAATAAATAATAAAAAATAAAATGCAATAATTATGCAATAAAATAATAATAATGAAGTGAAATAATAAAGGAAAACACTAAACTCATGGGTGTCATATAGCACCTTTGGAATGGGTAATAATAAAATTTGATGAGAGGCAAAGCAAGGCAACTCCAATTCCTTGGATCAAGGTACCCTTGAACAAAAACTATTCTTTATTTTAATTAGAGAGGAAGCACTAAACCCATAGGGAACATATAGTTTTTGAGGAAAGGTTCGATCCAAGGAACAGGAAGATAACTTTCAATTCCCTGGATCAAGAGCCTCACACCCAAATTTGCAAGTCAGCTCTTATAAAAACAATTTTTGAGGAACTGGGATTGAAAAATACATCCAAAAATTTGATAGTGCATAGAATGGCCTTCATACTACATGCTAGGAAATTTTGGACGAAGATTTTAATCATATTTCCCAAAAAAAAAAAAAATCTATATTGAGTTTCAGGAGACTGCAGTCCACATTAATGACGTAACTGTGATAATCCCTTTATATATTCAAAGTGGCAAACCCGTATGGGTCACAGATCCCTCAGGTGGCACATTTTTTCATTAACAATGTGTATAAAATGAGGTTTATATTAATATACCTGGATGACACCAGCAGTGTGTTGCTGGGCCATAGCCAGCAACATCCCGTCAAACTTCTCACTTTCAGCCATATCTGCCAGTGTTGCAGGTGTGTGAGTGTTGCAGGAGAGTCTGGCAGTGTTGGTGAACCTTGTAGCAGTGTTGTAGAGCCACCAGTGTTGGAGAAACAGTGTTGGAGAGAGAGAGAGAGAGAGAATTGTCACTTTACCTCCTCACTTCTGGTAAACAATTTCCACGTGAGATAATTTATTCCCGAAATTTCTTAAATAATGTATATATAAAATAATAGAGCTGTATTTAATTTAAATATTCCATTAGGGAAAAGATATTGTTCTTTTACATTTTTTTACAATATATGAATTAAATAATTATTATAGGCAACAAGAGGACCACCTTAATGCAAATATGTCACATTCTTTATGTTTTTTTTTAATTTTTTAGCTTAAATTTGCATACATATGTATGTATTTAGTGTATGTATGTAATGTGTATATGTATATATGTGTGTGTGTCACTATATGACTAAGATCTAAGTCAGGAAACACTTGTCCTGTTTCCTAACGAATCTTACCTAATCTATGTACTCACCTAATTGTGGTTGCAGGGGTCGAGACACAGCTCCTGGCCCCCGCCTCTTCACTGATCGCTACTAGGTATGTATGTATGTATGTATGTATGTATGTATGTATGTATGTATGTATGTATGTATGTATGTATGTATGTATGTATGTATGTATGTGTATATGTAATGTATGTATGCATATATATGTTTGTAATGTATGTATGTATGTATGTATGTATGTATGTATATATGTAAATGTATATATATATATATATATATATATATATATAATATATATATATATATATATATATATATATATATATATATATATTATATATATATATATGTATGTATGTATATATATATATATGTTTGTAATGCATGTGTATGTATGTGCATATGTAATGTATACATGTGTATATTTAATATATGTATGCACATGTATATTTAATGTACGTATATATGTATGTGTATATATATAAATGTATGTTTGTATGTATAAATATTTGTATAAATGTATATATGTAATGCATAATACCATTAAAGTCTTATGTTTCATCGCTGTTTTATGCAATTCATCAATAATCATAGAAAAGCGCTAAATCCACAGGGGCCATACAACACCTGGGGAATGGGAGGGATTGAGATTTGATCCAAGGAGGTGAAGAGTAGCTCCAGTTCCTTAGATCGTGAGCCTTTCACCAGCACCACCCATAAAAGGAGGGGTAATATACATTGTTCCTTGAGTTTTTATTGAAAATAAATTAATTTTTATATATGTTAATCTGTAGACATTGTCAAATATGTATACTTAAATTTCTTACTTAAAAATCCCACGACATTCCTTAAAAAATATAAATTTTGACGTTGCAGATTTATATGTTAGGTTGCTAGGGACGCGTTGCTAGGCAAGTTGCTATCATCCTGCTGAACGCTAGACCCTCAGGGGTCATACAGCGGCCATAAATTATAATTATTATTACATTCATGGGGAGACCCAAACCCTTAGGGGAGGCAACATTATTATTATTATAATCAAGGGAGAAGCGCTAAACCCGGTGGATTATACAGCGCCTGGGGGGGGGGATGTGGAAGGCATTCAGGCTTAATTCGGGGAACTGGAGCACAGATCTAATTCCCTAAATCAAGAGCCCCTCACCAACATCAAGGAACCTTCCTTGAGGGGAGGGGAGGCAACAGAGCTCAATCCAGGGAATGGGAAGTCAGGTTCAATTCAATGGATCAAGAACCCTCCACCAGCTCAAGGAATCTCTGTGAGGATTATAATCAAAAAGAAGCGCTAAACCACAAGGGTTCTCGTGAGGAATTATTATAATCATGGGGAGCGCTAAACCCGTAGGATTATACAGTACATGTGAGGGAAGGAGATGGAAGGTATTCAGGCTCAATTCAGGGAACTAGAGCACAGATCCAATTCCCAAATCAAGAGCCCCTCACCAGCATCAAGGAACCTCCCTTGAGGGCTCTTCGTGAGGAAGCATTGATTATAAAAGCTGGTAATTATGCTGGGTGACGTGTAGCTCTATGGTAGGAGCGTCTGAATCACAACCAAGAGGTTCAGAGTTCGATCCCTGGGAGGATCGTGCAATATGTAGGTTATTACAATCAGAACTAAGCGCCGAACCCACAAGGGTCATACAGTGCAGCATATAGGTACCTGGGTGTTAGGCAACTGGTGTTAGTCACATCCTTGGAGATTATTATAATAATCAAGGGGAAGCGCTAAACCCATAGGATTATACAGCGCCTGTAGGGGGATGTGGAAGGTATTCAGGTTTAATTCAGGGAACTGGAGCACAGATCTAATTCCCAGGACGATTATTATTATTATAATCAAAAAGAAGCGCTAAGCCACAAGGGCTATACAGTACTCCCAGGACAAAATTATAGGATCCCACTAAAAACAAAGTCTGAGTCTGACTTCACTGGGTTATCCTGGGACAGTCTGACTTCACTGGGTTATCCTGGGTCACTAACTCTGGGTTAATGACGAGATCCATTCATACTGGCATATATTCTGCTCATGTTATGTTTCTTTTATATTCTGGGTTAGGAGTCTCCAGTGTTATCAGTCTCACCCTCAGTGTTAAGTCCTCAGTGTGGATCTCAGTCTTGTTTTCAGTTAAAATGCCTACTACAACTTGATCCAGTTCCTTAGATCAAGAACCTTATCACCGTGATCTGGTACTTCCTCACACACGGTATTGTTGCATTGCTATTATCTTTAACATCTTGTCTTTGTAAAAGCTAAGAGGCTTGATTATTCTTGTGATCCTTTCTTTTAACTTCTCCATTCATATATGTATTGTGTCCTGTCATTTACATTATTTCCAGTACTAACTTTGTATCTCAAGGGTCTGACTTAAGAGACAAATGTGGTTAAGAGATGGGATATTGCACAGTAGAGGAAAGGATAGGATGAATCCAGTTATGAATGATGCTGTGGATGGGCATTAGGGCAGAGCAGGGATGGCATGACAACAGTTTGAATTGGTACTGGTATAGAGGTGATGAGGAAGAATTTGTAGCAGCAGAATCCGGCCAGAAAAAGGGATTTAGTGAGGGAGGTGCAAGGGAATGGGATTATTACTACATTCAACCCACAGTAATCATGCACTGTCTGGGTAATGGCAGGTAATCAGGCTCAGGGAAAGATAGCTCCAATTGCTTGGATCAAGAGCTCTTCACACTCAAGGTATGCCCCATTGAAGGATTGTTTAGAAGAGTGTGGGATTATATTCTGCCTTTCTAAAACCTACAGAGACCATGTAGTGCCTGGAGGAATGGAAGAAAATCAGGTTCAATCCAAGGATGGGGAAGGCAGGCTCAATTCCTTAGATCAAAATTATTCTTCATTCACTACATGCACCCTTGGATCAAAAACCCTCACCCAATGTCAAGAAACTCCCTTGATAAAGTAAGTGTGGCATGTTTCTAGAGGGAGGGGAATATGGGAAAAGTGATTTTTACTTTTAATTTTATTAAATCTTACTTATCTCACAAAACACTGAATAGCCTCCCTAAAAGTGTCATAACATAGATTTACTCAAGATTTTGTGTAGCTTTTTACCTGGGATGAATTACTCTGGCAGTGGTCGCTCATCCTCATCGGTGGGCAATAAACTGTTTTGCATAAAACTACCATTAGGCTTTTGATTATTCTTCCTTCATGCCTGTGGGTTATAGAAAACTGTATGCATATGCCTGTACATTAGACAGATCCATGCATGGTCATCTCACAGAGGGGGTACATAGTGGCAACTCTGCAAGACTTGCCATCTCCCACTGAGGCAGGGTGACCCAAAATAGAAAAAAACACTTTCACCATTCACACATAATCACTGTCTTTGCAGAGGCACCCAGAATAATTAGAATAATGATGGCGAGAAGCACTCTATAGTTTGTTCATCTTGATTCATAAGTTATCACATATACATAAAGGATAATCAAGAATGAACAGGATAAAGAGTTACTTTGCTTGATCATTCAGTATCTCTTGATGAATGAGATAAAGAAAATAAGAGTGCAATAAATGGCCAATTAAATAGAAATAAATGGTTTTTTTTTTATTTTGTAACCAATTTACAATAAACTTATAATAATGGGAGTGTTGTCACATCTTTCCTTTCCACTTTTTAGGTTATCATATTTTTATGTAAGAATGAGTACTTTGCAGGAATTTTCCAACATTCAACACTTGTTTTTAATATAGCAATTTGGGGATATTTTTTTTTTGTAATGAGTTTTTTGGGCTTTAAATGATTGTCATCTATATCATCGTCTAAACCACTAGAAATAATGGTTCTAAGTCAGGTCACTGTATTCAATATCCATGTCAAACATTGCACAGGTAGCTCTCATACTGATCAGTGGTTCAGAGAACCGACAAGTTGATAAATTAGACACATGTGCAACACTTGGGTATATTTATTGAGTTAAAACATTTTGCCATACAGTGGCTTCATCAGTCCATACAAAGGAGAATGGTGAAGAACAGGAGGAGTTTGAGGTAATCAGTCCCTCCTCTTGTTCTTCACCATTCTCTTTTGTATGGACAGATGAAGCCACTGTATGGCAAAACATTTCCTCAATAAAGATACCCAAGTGTTGCACATGTGTCTAATTTATCATCTCTCATATTATCTGCTCAATTCTGCATTAATAAATGTAACCAATAAAGATAGACAAGTAATAAAAATTAAAGGAAATGAATAGGATTAATTCAACATGTAATTACTCAGAATTATCTAGCCAGTCTCCTCCTCTGCAAGAAAAATAAATAATGATATACTGAGCAATATTAAGGCTCATCCAATGATTCTATAAACTATCCCACCCAGGCTGCATCACCAGCTGTACCTATACATATAAGAAAATCAGGATGTCCATTTTAAATAGTTTTAGATGTAATATGATACAAAATATGTAAAAGAGTTACTAGCATGGTATTTTTACCAAATTGCCAGAAAAGGCTAAAGCAGCCAGTGTATGTAGAATATTATGATATTGCACATTAAATAAAAGTGAATATGATGAATGGTTTTGAAAACCGACAAGTTGAAGAACTGAGACACTTATGCAACACATGGGAATCTTTATTGAAGAAACATTTTGCCACACAGTGGCTTCATCAGTCCAATACAAAGTAGAAATGGGTAAGGAGAGTAGAAGTTTGAGGTAATCAGTCCCTCAACCTGGAATCAATGTGTTCAGTCCATCACTCTTGTAGGAAGATGGACTGAACACATCGATTCCAGGTTGAGGGACTGATTACCTCAAACTTTTACTCTCCTTACCCATTTCTACTTTGTATTGGACTGATGAAGCCACTGTGTGGCAAAACGTTTCTTCAATAAAGATTCCCATGTGTTGCATAAGTGTCTCAATTCTTCAAAAGTGAATATAACAAATCTTGAATTATTGTGTATTATTTTAAGTAGAACAACTTTTATGTTACTAGTGCAAGTTGAAGGCACACTGCAAATATATTTGCTCAAAGCATAAAAGTTCGATTACTGATAGGTTAAGTTTCGAAGATGACCCCAGGGAACCTTATATATACTGTGTGACAAAGTAGGATATACTCTGTCTAACTGAAATGTAAAAATTTATGTCCACAGTCATCCTCTAATCAGTATGCAACAGACAAATAAATAAAAATATATAAATTTTTCAATATCTAATACACATTAAATAAATAAAAAATGTAATATATTTCAATTACATGGAAAAGTTCAATAAATATTGGGTGTACAATAAACACAAACTTGTACATTGGATTTAATATTTAGCCACAGTACAATAGTTAACAGAAATGAGCTTGTGTATCAATATAAAAACTCTCAAAAGCAGAGTCCAATAGAATTAGCATGAAACCAGATTCTGGTCAACTTCATCTGCTACACAAAGTAACAGTTTCTTTCTTTACACTGGCCCTTACATCTAATTCTCTTAAATCATAACATCTTTTCTCACATGAGGCTTTGCATGTGCTAAATACATACATCACAAGCATCTAAATAGTAACTAATGAACTGTGGATATTTAATAAATTTACAAGTAGTCATTATATACAAGATACTTTTCACTTAATGAAATAATGTTTATGATAAAAGCAGCTTTAATTTGTGAGGATAATTGAGAACTAACATCGAATGTCACAACACAAATCCATGAAGGAAGTAATTTCCACAAGAAGAATAAACATTTTCAGAATTGAAATAGCTTCCTTTAGTGGCTACCATTCCTATTCACAGTTCTAAAGCCTTAATATTCATCTACTGCATTATCTGGATTCCTACCTCCAATTAATAGTCCGTAAGTTTGGTCAGTTTTCACATTTTAATGTAATTTATAAAATAATAAAAATTCAAAGATATTTCATCTATTTCTGACCTTTATTTGCCAATGCCAGAAAATCTATTAGCTTCTGATCTAGACTTATTGGTTTTATAGTATTTGGCACAATTATATCTTCTTTCTAATATTCACATACTTTCCTATTTACCTTTTAAGAGTTTATTAAAAATCTCAAATGTACTTTTAAAACAATGACCCATATCACAAAAAAACAATGGCTTAGCAATGAATGCCATACTGCAGATATACATTTTATATGCATAAGACAATTAAAAAACAAATAAAATTAAAATGTAATTACCGACATTAAAAAACACAAGAATGACCAACAAAAGTGTCACTGCTAGTTAAAACATAATATGCTAAATATGCTTTTAAACGAGTCTCTGTTGTCGATTCAGTTTTTGCTATTTTTGTAATCTTAAGTACAGGTGAGCCCTCAATCATCATCACTAGCAATAAGCCTATAATAGTGATCATTGTCTACCTCAACTGACATGGGGCCTACTTTTTTCTTGCTTGATAATTTTGAGCGAAGATCCAGCCTGCTCCTGACACTCTGACCTTTGGTGGTACCCATATAAGACAATCTGTCTTGAACTCCACCAGATGATCGAACTCTGCTACCAGAAAGTCGATTCCATAGGTCCCCAGATTTCTTTTGTTTCTTTCTTTTCTGTTCAGCATCAGCATACATTTTCATCCGAGGAAACTGAAATACAACTTTTTTGTACATTTTTTAACAAGTTAACAAAAATAATTTGATTGTTTATCACTGAAAACACAATACAAAATTAAATTTAAGGTTTATTATTTATGCAAATTCAGTTTAAAGCACAATTTATCAAAAGCTGTAAGGAAAGTATGTATGTTTTTGTATCTAAAATATTTTCATTTGTGAAAAAATATAAATAAAAAAACCTTAATTTTGCTCTTCCACGGCACAATATCATCACTGTCGTCACTTCCTTGATAATCATCATTACTTCCACACTGCAAATCTTCTATATCCTCCTCACCATCAACCATGTCTTCATCCTCACAGTCACTATACGCTCTCTTTCTCTTCATTCCAGGTACTGAAAGTTTTATGACAGTCAGGTTAATGAGGTTTATAACCTATGAACTACCACACGAGGGTCATTAAGGTTACATGTAACCTCTTCACCACTAGTCAAGAATACTTTAAACCCAATTTTAGCAATTAAAGTAAGCTTTTGGCAAATATATATATGGAGAGCCATACATTTCTCCATGTATATATCTTTGAAAACAATTAAACACAAATTAATGTTATATGGGAAAAGGGGTTACTAGCCCATTGCTCCTGGCATTTTAGTCGACTTTTACAACACGCATGGCTTACGGATGAAAGATTCTTATTCCACTTTCCCATAGATGTGAAAGGAAAAGTAATAAGAACAAGAACTATTAAGATAAAATCAAAGAAAGCTCAGATGATTGTGTATATGTACGTGTACATGCATGTGTAGTGTGACCTAAGCGTAAGTAAAAGTACAGTGGAACCCCGAATATCGGTCTTAAATTGGTCCAGAAGGCTGTTCAAGTGCTGTTACCGAACGAATTTGCTCCCATAAGGAATAATGTGAATTAGATTAGTCCGTTTCAGACCCCCAAAAATACACATACAAAAGCACTTACAAAAATACACTTACATAATTGTTCGAGATGGGAGCTGTTCAAAATTCGAGGCACCACTGAACTTAAGATATTCACATACATAATTTTTTTTTTTTAAATTAAGCACAAATTAATGTTAAATGTAAAATTATTGGCAATATAAAAGGGAAAAAAGAAATTACTACACATCAAGCACAAGTTTTAGATAAGATGAGATAGCAAAGATCACCATATTTTCACTAAGAACTGGGTGCTAAAAATCATCTAATCCTGATATGAAGTGGGAGTTGTTGCAGCTGCTCTTTGCTGATGAGAGTGCTTTTGGGCAGTTCACATGAGAAGTTGCAATAATTGTGGGAAATTGGTAGGGTACATAAAAGAAGGAAGTTAAAAGTAAACATCGAGAAAAGTAAGGTAATGAGAACAAGAAAATGTCTTAGCAATGTAAGAATAGATGCCAGACTGGAGGAAGTGAATGTATTCAGATATTTGGGAGCAGACATATTGGCAGGTGTTATGTAAAAGATGAGATGAATTACAGAATAGATGGGGATGGGGAGGCCAGAAGGTTAATCAAGAGATGCAAAATAGGGTAATGGACCAGATTCTACTAGTTCCAATAATTTTACATGGGTGTGAGGCACTGCTACAGAAAAAAAGGCTGAAGGCTTCGAATATGTGATCAATGTGTGGTGGAGTATATTATACAGAGAATAATAAATGAAGAAATTAGAAGATAGTGTGGTGGAATGAAAGGTATAATCAGCAGAGACTGGAAAAAATGCAAACAGTAAATCATTTTATTGGAAAAATTTCAGTCCAGGGATCTATCTTGGTTACTCCAAATGATCATTACATTTGAAGTGACCAGGATCCTAGGACTAACACAGTCCTAATAAAGCCCTAGTGTTTTCATTTTTGTCTTTTTCCAGCTACTTCTAGGTATCAAATACCATTTTTACCAGAGGGTTTATTGTTCAGATGATTGGTCATTTAAAAAGGATGAAGCAAGAGAGATGAACAAAGAGGGAGTTATAAATATGGAGAGGATGGAATATATAGAGGACATTCTAGAAAGAGTTGGAAAAAGTGTAAAAAATTTTAAGTGGAATGGGCTTAAGCCGGCACATGTGAACAAGTTAGGTCGGAGTGAGTAGTGGCAAGTGGTCACTGGTATTCAGTGGTACATTCTGGAAAGTACAGTGCCTGTACTTTGAAGTATGGTTGGGGATGCTGCAGCAGGAGGCATATATAAATTATGATGCATGTACAAAACAGCTATTGAATAACTGATGGTGAAAATTTCCCTTTTTTTGAGTCACACTTACCTGAGGGGCAATGGCCAAAGTGCTATATACATAAATGAAGTGCCCAATTTACAAGTAAATTACAATTCACTATCATAAATTTCCCTAAAGCCTTCCCAATAAGCAAATCCATAAACCCTATAGAGATAATACCTAACATTAATAATTTTGAAGCCTCTTTCACAACTTATGGAAAAGGAGTCATTTAGCATGAACAGTTAAGGTATGCCTGTTGATAAGCATATACACAAGTTTCACTAATAAGCATCATTTACCTATTTAAATGTCAAGATACAGTATGCGAGTAAACACATGTTTTCTCATGAATTATCAAGCAGGTTTTTCTTCACAAAACTGATTCCAATACCTCGTTTCTGATGTTGCCGTAGTAAAGCTTGATAGTCAAATCTGTCATCTTCCTGACTTTCTTTACGTCCCCAGTTTAGGGCAAGTGCTCCCCAAGGGTTCTTGGGTCCCTCCTCAATTTTCTGTCCATCTACATCCCATCTCAAGGTTTCATCATGCTCTCTTCTTCTCCTTGCTTCATGCATTCGTTTTCTACCACTTTCGCTGAGAAGTCCTTTGATGCCTGAAAAGAAAAAAATCTTTCACTGCAAATTTTCCATCAAAACTTTAACAGCCATTAAAGATAATAAGATATACTAAGTAATCTTTACAGGAAAAGGGGTTACTAGCCCATTGTTTCCGGCATTTTAGTTGACTTTTACAACACGCATGGCTTACGGAGGAAAGATTCTTATTCCACTTCCCCATGGATATAAAAGGAAAAGTAATAAGACCAAGAACTATTAAGATAAAAATCAAAGAAAACTCGGATGAGAGTGTATAAATAAATGTGTACATGTATGTGTAGTGTGACCTAAGTGTACGTAGAAGTAGCAAGACATACCTGTAATCTTGCATATTTATGAGACACAAAAAAACACCAGCAATCCTACCATCATGTAAAACAATTACAGGCTTTCGTTTTACACTCACTTGGCAGGATGATAGTACCTCCCTGGGTGGTTGCTGTCTACCAACCTACTACCTATAATTTTTTTTTATATTAAAGTCCAGGGTTTATTCCCTGGACCTCAGCAATGAGAGTCGCTCCTCTCACCGCTGGGCAACGGCGACAATTATAAAACGTATTCAAACCATACCACAGACGGGGATAGAACCCGCGATCAGAGTCTCAAAACTCCAGACCGTCGTGTTAGCCACTGGACCAGCTAGCCACTGCAAAAACCTCTGCAAAAACAGTGATTATGTGTGAGTGAGGTGAAAGTGTTGAATGATGATGAAAGTATTTTCTTTTTTGGGATTTTCTTTCTTTTTGGGTCACCCTGCCTCGGTGGGAGACGGCCGACTTGTTGAAGAAAAAAAAAAAGATATACTAAAAAGGAAGCATCAATTAGGAAGCCATAACAATAAAAGCAATTTTAAAATGGTTTGAAATATTTACTTTAAGTTCATTTAACGAAATATAATAAAAAATGCTGAATGTCTCTTGGTAATTGTGTGAGATATATGTTTACCAGACTTGAGTCAAGGAGGAAAAAAACAGTACCTGCACTCTAAGGAGAAACCATACCACAGGTGGGGTTTGAACCCGCGGTCAGAGAGTCTCAAAACTCCAGACCATCACGTTAGCCACGGTCTGGAGTTTTGAGACTCTCTGACTGAGGGCTCAAACCCCACCCGTGGTATGGTTTGTTCGCAATCGTGTCATTACGATTTCATGACTCTAAAGAGAAGCTGGGAATGTTGAAATTCAGAGGGTCATTTGAATTGTGAACAACAACAATAACAAACATTTGAATTGTGATGTCTATAATTTATTATTATCAGCTTATCTCCATGGGGAAGTAGAACAGAATTCTTCCTCTGTGTCATAAGAGGCAACTAAAACACCAGGAGCAAGGGGCTAGTAACCCCTTCTGCATAAATTACTAAATTTAAAAAGAAAAATTTTTAAGGCAGAGTAACCTAAACAGAAAAACTTTCATTTTTCTTTTTAGGTCACTCTGCCTTGGGATATAGCCGGTTTGCCAAAAAAAAATTATTGTTTTATTTTTACCACATTGGCCATCTGTCACCAAGGCAGAATACCCTACAAAAGAAAACTAAGATGTCTACACAGAGGTGTGCAGACATCACAATTCAAATGACCCTCCAAATCTATAAGAACCCTCCTTCAGTGCGCTAACACAGTACTGTACTTCTCACCTCCAGGGCTCGAGTCCAGTTTACCAGTTTCCTTGAACTACTTCAAAAATACTACTTTGCTCCCACTCCAACAGAATAGCAAATTATAAAGCTACTTGTCTTCACTCACAAAACACTAAGATGTTCTCAAACACCTGCTGAATGCTCAAGCCCTAACAACTTTAAACCCCCATCACATCCTCCCTCTAATCCTTCCCGGGATGACTCCTACCCCTACTTCCATCCAACCTGAATTTATGCACTCTTCTATTCATTCTATTTCTCTCCATCCTTTCTAAATGATCAAACCATCACCAAAACTCCTCCACTCTCTTAACCCTTTCAGGGTCGCCAGGCCCTCTCCGAGACTTGTTCTCAAGGTCGCCCAAATTTCAAAAAAAAAAAATATTTTTTTCTCATGAAAATACAGAGAATCTTTTCCCGATCATAATGACACTACAAGTATGAAATTTGATGGAAAGCTTACAGAATTATGCTCTCATGAAGTTAGCGGTCTCGACAATGTTTACGCATCGGCGATTTTACCCACTTTGAGCCCTATTTTCAGCCAATTCCAATGTACTAGTCGACAAAAATCATAACTACTTCGCTAGAACTCCATTTTTTCTATCAAATGAGTACAAGAAACCACCCATTTACCAATTTCAACTATCCAATACAGTGATCAGAATTTAGCAATTTTGCCAATTTCACACAAATTTCAAAAGATGCCAATTTCCTGGCACTAAAATAGCATTTCCTCTGTTCGCTAGTCACATCCCTACGCCCCTCTTACATTCTTTTGCTTTCCACTTTGAAGTTTTATTCTCACAAAAAAAAATAGATTTACTGTTATGCAGACTACTGCATTAGTGTAGAAATGGTATAAATAATATTGGCGCACTTGTGAAAGAATATTAGACTCACCAGTTGACGTGTATTGGACGCTTAGCATAATTTGTTTACTTTTGAACTTCGGTAAAAATCGAACATTTCTGCTACTTTGAGCTCAATTTCAAGGTACTTTTCATTGTAAAACCAGTCAAAATCATCTCTATTTCTGTAATATGTCTTCCATTCTATAAAATGAGACCAGGAAAACTAGAATACAACAATAAATACCATACAAAAATACAGTGCAAATTCGGTTTTAATCCAAAAACACGGTCAAAGTTTTTTTTCTCATTACGCACTGTGTGCTGCAGGATTTTTTTTATACTGCGCACACTGACCACATAGACCCATTCTTTCACATGTAGGCCTACCAGCTTTCTCTCACTAGACTTGAGGGCGCTAGAATTTAGACGTACTAGTACGTCAAAAACCCTGGTGCGTAAGCCGTACTAGTACGTCCGAAACCCTGAAAGGGTTAATCATACCTTCATAGCTAAAAATTATGAATAACAATAAAAGATTTAGTAAGAGAATAAATATATACTGTAACTTGATATAAATAAATTATCACGTTTCTATATAATCAACCAAGTTCCACATAGGGGTGAGGAAGCCACCATGTCATGGACATTTCTTCCAGGAGATAGTTTACCAAGTTGTTCCATGTTGTTTTTATTCTACTGAAACAACAAAAACTTTATAGACTTAGCTTTAAAGAATAGTACGAATACATGGGGAATAACTCGCTTTTTTTTTTTTTTTTTTTAGCTCAAGAGAAAGGGTTTATAATTCAAATACATACAATAATATGGAACAAATAAAATCAAAGACTGTGATGCATATAAAGATCTGACTGTAGGATGTTTCCAATAGTCTTACCTCCAAAGTTAGGATTGCCATACTTGCGATAATATTCAGAATTTCTTTCAGCACCACCAGCTTTTTTATCTTTACGACTGGAGAAACGTAACAAAACTGCTTTAGTACGTGTGCAAGGAACTCCTAGCCTCCACCGTCCTGGAGGTACTGGTATGGCTATATCTTCTGCACGAACACTGCCCTGAAAGATAATAAATATTCACAGCACCACTTTCTCTACTAGTCACATTACAAATAGGCTATGCATAGTACTGTGTGAGGATAAACCCTGACAGTCCTGTGTCATGCTAAATGTATATCTCTCTCTGTTCTCCTCTGCAATTACATTTTAATTTATTAAGCTGTCACATCTGAGCGCCTCTGCAAAGACAGTGATTATGTATAAGTGATGGTGAAAGTATTGAATGATGATGAAAGTGTTTTCTTTCATTTTGGGTCACCCTGCCTAGGTGGGAAACAGCAAACGTGTTAAAAAAAATACATTACTATACCTCAAGTACAATATATGCTGCAGTTATTTTTCTAGGAAAGAAACTTGACAATGCATACTGGGGAGTGTTGAGGTCAATGTGGCATTTGTACAAATCAGATGGAAAGCTTTTAAAGACAGATTAATAAAGGAATTAGGTCTACAGCATAGGAGAGAATAAGTTAATAAAGGAAGCTTGGTAATAATTGAACTAACATTTATGAAAACAAAAAGAAGGGGTACAATTGCTTAAATTTAAGAAGTGTTTGGTTTAGTGAAAATGGGATGATAGAAGTGGGCAAGAGTGTTTATGCAACTCAAGGTGAGAGGATTAGAGTGGAGAAAATAAAATCCTGCAGTGTTAAGTAATGATGAAGTTAAAATGATGGACAAAAAGAAAATTTAAAATTTTTTTTTTTTTTTATTATCACACTGGCCGATTCCCACCAAGGCAGGGTGGCCCGAAAAAGAAAAACTTTCACCATCATTCACTCCATCACTGTCTTGCCAGAAGGGTGCTTTACACTACAGTTTTTAAACTGCAACATTAACACCCCTCCTTCAGAGTGCATGCACTGTACTTCCCATCTCCAGGACTCAAGTCCGGCCTGCCGGTTTCCCTGAACCCCTTCATAAATGTTACTTTGCTCACACTCCAAAAGCACGTCAAGTATTAAAAACCATTTGTCTCCATTCACTCCTATCAAAGACGCTCACGCATGCCTGCTGGAAGTCCAAGCCCCTCGCACACAAAACCTCCTTTACCCCCTCCTCCAACCTTTCCTAGGCCGACCCCTACCCCGCCTTCCTTCCACTACAGACTGATACACTCTTGAAGTCATTCTGTTTCGCTCCATTCTCTCTACATGTCCGAACCACCTCAACAACCCTTCTTCAGCCCTCTGGACAACAGTTTTGGTAATCCCGCACCTCCTCCTAACTTCCAAACTACGAATTCATCTGCATTATATTCACACCACACAATTGCTCTCAGACATGACATCTCCACTGCCTCCAGCCTTCTCCTCGCTGCAACATTCATCACCCATGCTTCACACCCATATAAGAGCGTTGGTAAAACTATACTCTCATACATTCCCCTCTTTGCCTCCAAGGACAAAATTCTTTGTCTCCACAGACTCCTAAGTGCACCACTCACTCTTTTCCCCTCATCAATTCTATGATTCACCCATCTTTCATAAACCCATTCCGCTGACACGTCCACTCCCAAATATCTGAATACATTCACCTCCTCCATACTCTTCCCTCCAATCTGATATTCAATCTTTCATCACCTAATCTTTTTGTTATCCTCATAACCTTACTCTTCCTGTATTCACCTTTAATTTCTTTCTTTTGCACACCCTACCAAATTCATCCACCAATCTTCTGCAACTTCTCTTCAGAATCTCCCAAGAGCACAGTGTCATCAGCAAAGAGCAGCTGTGACAACTCCCACTTTGTGTGTGATTCTTTATCTTTTAACTCCATGCCTCTTGCCAAGACCCTCGCATTTACTTCTCTTACAACCCCATCTATAAATATATTAAACAACCACGGTGACATCACACATCCTTGTCTAAGGCCTACTTTTACTGGGAAATAATTTCCCTCTTTCCTACATACTCTAACTTGAGCCTCACTATCCTCGTAAAAACTCTTCACTGTTTTCAGTAACCTACCTCCTACACCATACACTTGCAACATCTGCCACATTGCCCCCCTATCCACTTTGTCATATGCCTTTTCCAAATCCATAAATGCCACAAAGACCTCTTTAGCCTTATCTAAATACTGTTCACTTATATGTTTCACTGTAAACACCTGGTCCACACACCCCCTACCTTTCCTAAAGCCTTCTTGTTCATCTGCTATCCTATTCTCAGTCTTACTCTTAATTCTTTCAATAATAACTCTACCATACACTTTACCAGGTATACTCAGCAGACTTATCCCCCTATAATTTTTGCACTCTCTTTTATCCCCTTTGCCTTTATACAAAGGAACTATGCATGCTCTCTGCCAATCCCTAGGTACCTTACCCTCTTCCATACATTTATTAAATAATTGCACCAACCACTCCAAAACTATATCCCCACCTGCTTTTAACATTTCTATCTTTATCCCATCAATCCCGGCTGCCTTACCCCCTTACGTTTTACCTACTGCCTCACGAACTTCCCCACACTCACAACTGGCTCTTCCTCACTCCTACAAGACGTTATTCCTTCTTGTCCTATACACGAAATCACAGCTTCCCTATCTTCATCAACATTTAACAATTCCTCAAAATATTCCCTCCATCTTCCCAATACCTCTAACTCTCCATTTAATAACTCTCCTCTCCTATTTTTAACTGACAAATCCATTTGTTCTCTAGGCTTTCTTAACTTGTTAATCTCACTCCAAAACTTTTTCTTATTTTCAACAAAATTTGTTGATAACATCTCACCCACTCTCTCATTTGCTCTCTTTTTACATTGCTTCACCACTCTCTTAACCTCTCTCTTTTTCTCCATATACTCTTCCCTCCTTGCATCACTTCTACTTTGTAAAAACTTCTCATATGCTAACTTTTTCTCCCTTACTACTCTCTTTACATCATCATTCCACCAATCGCTCCTCTTCCCTCCCGCACCCACTTTCCTGTAACCACAAACTTCTGCTGAACACTCTAACACTACATTTTTAAACCTACCCCATACCTCTTCGACCCCATTGCCTATGCTCTCATTAGCCCATCTATCCTCCAATAGCTGTTTATATCTTACCCTAACTGCCTCCTCTTTTAGTTTATAAACCTTCACCTCTCTCTTCCCTGATGCTTCTATTCTCCTTGTATCCCATCTACCTTTTACTCTCAGTGTAGCTACAACTAGAAAGTGATCTGATATATCTGTGGCCCCTCTATAAACATGTACATCCTGAAGTCTACTCAACAGTCTTTTATCTACCAATACATAATCCAACAAACTACTGTCATTTCACCCTACATCATATCTTGTATACTTATTTATCCTCTTTTTCTTCAAATATGTATTACCTATAACTAAACCCCTTTCTATACAAAGTTCAATCAAAGGGCTCCCATTATCATTTACACCTGGCACCCCAAACTTACCTACCACACCCTCTCTAAAAGTTTCTCCTACTTTAGCATTCAGGTCCCCTACCACAATTACTCTCTCACTTGGTTCAAAGGCTCCTATACATTCACTTAACATCTCCCAAAATCTCTCTCTCCTCTACATTCCTCTCTTCTCCAGGTGCATACACGCTTATTATGACCCACTTTTCGCATCCAACCTTTACTTTAATCCACATAATTCTTGAATTTACACATTCATATTCTCTTTTCTCCTTCCATAACTGATCATTTAACATTACTGCTACCCCTTCCTTTGCTCTAACTCTCTCAGATACTCCAGATTTAATCCCATTTATTTCCCCCCACTGAAACTCCCCTACCCCCTTCAGCTTTGTTTCGCTTAGGGCCAGGACATCCAACTTCTTTTCATTCATAACATCAGTAATCATCTGTTTCTTGTCATCCGCACTACATCCACGCACATTTAAGCATCCCAGTTTTATAAAGTTTTTCTTCTTCTCTTTTTTAGTAAATGTCTACAGGAGAAGGGGTTACTAGCCCATTGCTCCCGGCATTTTAGTCGCCTCATACGACACGCATGGCTTACGGAGGAAAGATTCTTTTCCACTTCCCCATGGACAACAGAAGAAATAAAGAAGAACAAGAGCTATTTAGAAAAAGGAGAAAAACCTAGATGTATGTATATATATATGCATGTGCATGTCTGTGAAGTGTGACCAAAGTGTAAGTAGGAGTAGCAAGACATCCCTGTTATCTAGCGTGTTTATGAGACAGAAAAAGAAACCAGCAATCCTACCATCATGCAAAACAGTTACAGGTTTCTGTTTCACAGTCATCTGGCAGGACGGTAGTACTTCCCTGGGTGGTTGCTGTCTACCAACCTACTACCTAATTTAAAAATGTGAAATATTTTCTGTAATGTAAAAATGATGGTTACCACTATACTCACATACATTCCCTTTTTCGCCTCCATGGATAATGTTCTTTGTCTCCAGACTCCTCAGTGCACCATTCTCCCTTTTTCCCTTGTCAAATCTATGGTTCATTTCGTCTTTCACAGACCCATCTGCCGCCAAATCCATTCCCAAATATTCAAACTCATTCATTTCCTCCCTACTCCCGCCCTCCGATCTGATATCCAAGCTTTCATTACCCTCATCACTTCGCTCTTTCCTGTATTCACTTTTAATTTTATGTTTTTACAAACTCTCTCAGAAGGGAGGGGTGGAGATGTTGCAGTTGGATGGTCATCTAGGTCACCCTACCTTTGCTGGAGATAGCTAACAAGATATTAAAAACACAGACACTACAAGTAAGGCTCTCATGAGTGTAAATTAAAACTGGAAAAAAACATGTGCAGAACAAATATTTATCATGAAGATTTCACTCTATGCAAAGCTCTGAATTTCAGGTTAATTATCTGATAAAGTACTAGGAAGAGTCAAACATGACTTCCAAACATGACATAAAACTCTATGCAGAACAAAACACTGCCACAATAAAAGCTTGCCCTGCACTTCTGTATTCCTTTTACTGTGTACTATTGGCAGTATGCCTTTATATCCAATAATATTTTTTTTTTGAAAACCACTAAAAAACAAACCATAAATGATCTTTACCTCTTCGATGGCTTCTTTATTTGGCTCTGTTGTATCTTGATCCATAGTTTCAATTTTTACTTTCACTTTTTTCTTCTTTTTCCTTGTCTTTTCTTTAACATTTTCAGTCTCATTTTCTGATGAATTACTATCACTGCTGCTGCTGCTACTACTGTCACCACTACTATTACCACCACTACTACTACTACTGCTGCTGCTACTACTACTGGAAGAGTCAGATGAGTTTTCATCATCACTTTCACTACTACTACTACTATCACTGCTTGAACTACTACTACTGTGTCCATCCTTATTGTTAATTTTCTTTTTCTTAGATTTATCTTTCTTTTCTTTTTTAATTTTAATTTTAGGTGTTCCTCCATCATCACTTAGCTTATTGCCACCTGAATCTTGTGACTGGAAAAATATTTTTTTGTTAGTAAAAACAATGTACTATATATCAAGAGTCACAATGTACATTAATGAACAATTTATATGCACCTGAACGAGATTATCTCTAACATTAGGTAAATATTAAGAATCAGCTATATCTATTATATATCTATTAATGTTTCTCACTGTCTCAGCCCAATCTCATACAAGGTCTCCTAAACTGGAAAAGAAACACTACAGGAATAAGAACTATTACTAATACTGTATTTACCTGCCATCTTACATGTTCATGAAATATTAAAGAAAAGGTTCTTGGAACTTGTTTGTCTTTCCCTTCTTCATGTGAGTTATCCTTGTTCCTGCAGACCTTAATCCTTTTACTGTCGAGACCCCTGCTCACAAACTAGCATGCTCTCAGTGTCCAGAAAAAAAAAAAAATCTTATGAAATGATATAGCATCTTTTCCTGGTGGTAATGACACCAAAAGTACGAAATTTGATGGAAAACTTACAGAATTACGCTCTGGCAAAGTTAGCAGTCTCGGCGATATTTACACGTATGTGATTTCACCCACTTTGAGCCTTACTTTCGGCCAATTTCAATGTTCCAGTCGACCAAACTCATAGCTATTTTGCTAGAATTCCATTTGTTTTATTGATCGAGTACAAGAAACCGCCCATTTGCCGATTTCAACTACCCAATAAAGTGATCAGAAATGGTAACTTGGCAAATTTCATACACAATTCAAATAGGACCAATTTCAAAATAGGGTCCAGAATTAACAATACAAACATTCCTAGCACTAAAATGACATTTTCTCTGTTTATTAGTCATGTCTCCAGGCCCCTCTTATATTATGCTTGCTTTTCATTTTGAATTTTTATTCACACAAAAAATAGAAGATTTAGTTACGAAGATTACTACATTATTGTAAAAATGGTATAAATAATATCAGTGCATTGTGAAAGCATATTAGACCCACCAGTTGACATGTACTGGATGCATGACGTGATTTGTTTACTCTTGAACATCAGCAAAAATTGAATATTTCCACTACTTTGAACTCAATTTCCAGGTACTTTTAGTCCATAAACCATTCAAAATCATCTATTTCTGTAATATATCTTCCATTCCATCAATGAGACCAAGAAAACAAGAATAAAACCACTAATACAATACGAAAGTATACCGCAAAGTCGGTGTTTTAAACCAAAAACACAGTCAGTTTTTTTTTCTCATTATGCACTGCGTGCTACAGGACTTGTTTTATACTGCACACTGTGCACACTGACCACTCAGATCCATTCTCTAATATGTAGGTCTACCAGCTTTTTCCCAGCAAGATTGGAAGCCGCCATAATTTTGGAGTAGTATCACAGGACTGACACTGGCTTGCAAGCCGTAATATTATGGGACTGACAGTGAAAGGGTTAAACAACCAGTTCTGTTCATATTTTATTTATCTACCTAGAACTCTTATCTCCATTACAGTGTACTGGTGAATAAATCCTTCAAACAAAATTTACCATAAATTTAAATTCACCCCAACCTCTACAGTTTTTTCTACCAGTATCTACTCTTCAATATAGTCCTTCAAATACTGTATATCAGAAAACATTTCTTCATGTCTATCTGTTTCTGAAGCTTTTTCTTCTGAGAACTTTTCCATCTGAAGGGATAGCCATGGCTACAAAGAATTCCTAAGCACCATATAACATAATCTTCCGGTCCACTCTAGTATATTATAATCATAGTATTTAAGAATGAAGTCATGAGCATTTTAAAATAATCTAACCTTCTGACCATTTCTGCTCTTAAAGGTGTGTCTACTTTTTTTTAAATCTGCCTCTCGAGGCAGAATTGGACAGGAGAGCCCTATCAGCGCACGCACGGGACCAGCTGCATCTAGCCACACTACATTGCCTAAAAAAAGACAGACAGTTATCAGTATAAACTCATAATTATCAAGAGTATAATTATTAATACTACAAATTCCCTGCTTACAGTTACTGTATTCCTGAAAAAAAATTTAAGTGTTCAGAATTTGGAGTCTATTTTACCATAGACACCCATGTTGTAATCAGAGATGCATTCCTGAGCCATAGTATTCCTTATCTGATTTAATTTATCTTTTAACCACCATGGGAACAATAGTACTGCAACATTCTTTATTATGCACAGTACAGCAATTAATAAATCTGCTTCATTTATACTGTTTAATTTAAAGTTTCTAGAAGTCCATGGTGCTTAAGAGACACTGGAGATGTATAATTAGTTGGTCAGATGTGTACTGTCTAAAAATTATTAAGTAACCTCAGTTGATCTGGCAAAGCTTTGGAACTAAAGCCTTTCTGGAAAAATAGAGGTGTACCAGTACTATAAAAAATTCAACTTTAATAATGGTAAAGAAATACTGAGACTCTTCATTATCTCTTCCTTTTTATACTATGGTGTATATGTACATAAAATTTCTTACAGTGAATACATAAAATATTTATATTTTTGTTACTGATGCTCAGTTAAAAAATTGACCGAATACAAAAGTAAACTTACAGCTGCTGTCATTTATCCACTCAATACTGGCAGGAGCATAAGCCTGGAAGTATTCAAAGACATCTTTAGTACTAAGGTCTTCTGTGCCACGCATGATTAGGGCATCTGCACGATAACGACCACGAGCAAAGTCTTCGTCTTTGACATCTAAACTGCAAAAAAAAGACCAAAAATCACTTAATTTGGACCAAGCATTAGTACATATAACATGCACATTTACCATCATGAAGTCAAAATATTATCTGATTTTTTTTTAACATACTGGCTTGTTTGCCACCAAGATAAGAGGACTCAAGGAAAACACAGTTACCATCACTCACTTTCCACAAAAACACAGACACTACTGATCAATGATGACTCACAGAATTGCAACATCCTCACCTACTTGTAGAGAAAAGGCTTTGTATTTCCTAACTTTTAAAACTCTAATCTAGTTACTTGGTCTTCCCAAGGTCCTTCATATACTGTACTGTTAACTTGCTTATACTCAAATAGCCCTTAAAATCTCCAATACCACTTGTCTCAACTCTGAGCCAATATATTCACACATGCTTGCTAACATTTTTTATTGGGTCCAGGATCACTGTCCCCCAAAGCCTTGTCTTGATCCAAGCCTCCTAAAGTAGAAGGGAAGATAGTTATTTTATGACTGATGATTATTTTTTTTTTTGGTGGGGGGGAGGGAGGAAGGAAGGGGGTCACCCTACTTTGGTGAGAGATCGCTAGTGCAGTGAAAACCGCTATGAAAAACACAGGTAGAAGCTTGTAAGACTTACATGTTCTTGTACACGTTATGCTTAATGGTGGAGCATGTGTGATGGCAACTAAACTGAGTTTTGTGTAAACAAATCAACCATTTGTACAATTAGAAAAGACGGTGGTAAATGCAGCAGCGAGGAGACGGTTGGAGGCAGTGGAGATGTCCTATCTGAGGGCAATGTGTGGTGTAAATATTATGCAGAAAATTCGGAGTGTGGAAATTAGGAAAAGGTGTGGAGTTAATAAAAGTATTAGTCAGAGGGCAGAAGAGGGGTTGTTGAGGTGGTTTGGTCAATTAGAGAGAATGGATCAAAGTAGAATGACATGGAAAGCATATAAATCTATAGGGGAAGGAAGGCGGGGTAGGGGTCGTCCTCGAAAGGGTTGGAGAGAGGGGGGTAAAGGAGGTTTTGTGGGCGAGGGGCTTGGACTTCCAGCAAGAGTGCATGAGCATGTTAGATAGGAGTGAATGGAGATGAATGGTACTTGGGACCTGACGATCTGTTGGAGTGTGAGCAGGGTAATATTTAGTGAAGGGAGTCAGGGAAACTGGTTATTTTCATATAGTCAGACTTGAGTCCTGGAAATGGGAAGTACAATGCCTGCACTTTAAAGGAGGGGTTTGGGATATTGGCAGTTTGGAGGGATATGTCGTATATCTTTATACGTATATGCTTCTAAACTGTTGTGTTCTGAGCACCTCTGCAAAAACAGTGATAATGTGTGAGTGTGGTGAAAGTGTTGAATGACGATGAAAGCATTTTCTTTTTGGGGATTTTCTTTTTTTTTTTTTTGGGTCACCCTGTCTCGGTGGGAGACGGCCGACTTGTTGAAAAAAAAAAAAAGAATAAAAAAATACAAACCTGTACATTAAATGGTATAGATTATCACCTGTTAAACAGAACGTCAAGAGAGGTCACTACAGGTAAATCAGACGGAAAAATTAATGAGTGTGTGGACTGAGGGAAAACTACAAAAAGTGGCTTGCTTAGTTGTCAGACAATAAGGCACGAAGGCCTACTGTACTATGAAACAGTGTGAGAGAAAGAAGGAGAGCCTTCACAGCAGTGTATGTTATGTGCTGGATGGCTAGAAACTTTAACAAGTAAAATTATCCACCTAAACTTAAGTTTTCTGGTCAGTTCTATAAAATGCTGCAGGGTAGAATATACCAGAGATGCAGCAAAGAATACTTGAACACTCCAGTACAACCATCAACCAATGACAACTCTTCATCCACATCACTACAAGAACCACAGCCATCCACGTCAGCCCATTAGACCAACATCAGCACTCCACACTTTTCCATTTCAAGAAGAAAGCATTACCAGAATGCAAGTTATACTATAGCAATTTTTAACTAGTACAAAAGTAAAAAAAAAAAAAAAAAAATTGGGGGGCAAATTTGAAAGTGTCTGAAACACAGAAATTCAATTTTTCCTATATATTTTTCTAATATAACAACATTTTGCATTATGCACTGATTTTCAGGAGGTAACCCATGAGTTTTGAGAGGGTTTACTGTACACCATACACAATATACTGCATCTGCAACACAGCCTCTCCTCACTCACCGACAGAGTTCCACTCCTAAGACCACATCAGTAAACGGATTCGTTGCTACGTGAGGAGCATACTATAATGGTAACGGGTTTGTGTCAACCATCTTTGATATTGTTTTAATGTCACCTTTGCATCATTTATAACATTTCTGGTAATTTTTAAATGTTTATACAGTAGTGTACTGCACATTGTAATAAACAGAACAGAGGAAATCAGCTTTAATATACATTATATAGGTATGCATACTGGTTAGAGTTACTGGTAAACGGGTACGTCGCTAAGTGAGGAGAGGCTGTATATCATTTATAACATAGTCACAGTATAACATCCACGACTCATCATCCACAGCTATAAAACAATATTTTCATCTTACATCTTTTTTTGAAAACATTCTACTGTATAGAGAGGAAAATTCCATAGCATTACAGTATAATATATGATATGGAGTATAATCATAAAGAATACCTTTTATAAAGCTTTGCAATAGCCTCGGGGGTTGGGGCAGACTTTGGTGCATCTGAAACTCCAAATCTTCGTGCCCTCTCTGACAAGACCTTGTTGCTAACCTGGAAATTAAAATATCATAAGCTCAGGAAAAAAATATTATACAGTACTGTACATAAGTATTATATTTAGTACCCAAATATAAGAGCACAAAGTCCCCAAATATTATGATTACAGTAACACAATGTCATAAATGTGCTTTGATATCAGGTAAGTCATGATGAAAAACTAACTGCTGATGCAAGACTACATACCAATACAGTGCAAGGTCAAGTAAATCATATAAATACAACTTTAAAATAAAAATTATGTGCTAAATTTATGAAATTTTTATAAAGATAACATTTTCAATTCAGTATACTGTTAACATTACTGAATTGTAATTTGGTTATTCATCCTGCTTGAATCTATAATGCAAAATTTCCTAAAGCAACATATTAAAGAACCAATGAGACTAATTACAAATAACAAAGGGCAAGGTTGGACCTTGTTTTCACTTCCAGCCAAGCTAACATTCAGGGAAAATGGAATGTAGACTGCCTCTTGGGGAAAGCAAATTCTGTTAATTAATGCTCAGTTACTTGGTGGTAATGAAGCTGAAGACAATACTGTAGGAGAACTGAAGAGACTGATGTAAGGAAATGGTGATTACAAAGGGATGAGAATTTTTCTACTTCAAGTACAGTGGAAAGATGAATTCAGGAAACAATTCACCCGCAGAATGACTAATTTTCACCCATATACATTACTGTATTATTGTATATATGTAGTCATAATATCCTAATCAAATGCCTGCATTGTAATACTGATCAAACAGTCAACTGTACCACATCAATAAAAGTTTAAACTTGTAAAACTTAAACCACACTTACCATGTAACATTATTCATACTCACGACTGTGTAAACCACTAACTACACACTCACCACTTTGTAACACAAGACTACCTTATGAGGCAATAAGCAATGTATTGTTTTTGAGTGACATAGTGGTCAATGCATTTCCTTACCTCATAGATGCCAGAAACAAAGCCACCACCACTCCTGTTTTCATATTTCTTCTCCGGCCAACTATGTTTAGCCTGGCAAGGAAGATCAGCATAAGTATTTATGCAATTGATCAAAGTCAAGACTAACTGCCTATTTACTTACTATAAAATATAATAACCAATACAGTACTGTAATGTATACAGTATATACAAGTGCTTCATTATCAGTTTAGTCCATACCTAGATTGCTATACAAAATATAACTAAAAAAACAAAATATGACTAAGACACATGTGCAATGTTAGGATACTTTTATAAGGATACATTTTGCCCATCAAGGCTTTACTAATTGATTTAAGCCACTGGTGGGTGAATTATTATTATTATTATTATAATCAAAAAGAAGCGCTAAGCCACAAGGGCTATACAGCGACTGGTGGGTGAAACATAGCCTTGTAAAACATCTTAATAGATTAAAATATGCCTTCAAATTTCCTCTCCTATGTGGGTATTATTAGTGAAGTGTTCAAAATCATTATTCTGACTTGTATTCTTGCTGCACTGCACATCTCATTTACTAAATTGTTGATATTATATAGAAGAGTATCATTCTTGGAACTTGCCCAGCCAAGAAACAATTCTATTGAATAATCTATAATTTTTTACATGATTCTGCCATATATATAAGCAATTTTAAATAATCTTCAAAAGTATGTCAACGTCAAAAGTAAAATCAATAAGAAGCTGAGACCCAAGAATTTTTATAATATTCACAATGCAAACACAGTATTCTAGCTACTGCTTTTAAAATAGAGAACACTTTCCGAAACTACCAACACAAGGTCAAAAGCACTTCTAAGGTAAGACAAATGGCAAAATACATCAAGCACTGTACATTTCAAATTTAAAGCAAATTACTTTGGGCTTAATCATGACACAGTATCCATTAAAAAAAAAAAAGATTCCCAACATTGAATAAAATTAATTCCTATACTGCAACAATGTAGAAGCACTGCAATAAGGTTGACAGCCCTTAATTAATCCCCACCATTAAGCTACATCTTTAAAGGAATGTACTGTATTATTATTATATTCATAGAAAAAGTGTTAACCCTATAGAGGGCAAACAACACCTAGGGATGAGAGGTAATCAGGTTTAATCCAAGGAATGGGAAGGCAGCTCCAATTTCTTGGATCATGCATTGTTTACTAACAGGAAGGCACCCTCCTCAAAGGGTCAGAGCTGTATAAGGAGCACTACTGGTACACAGGGACGTGCCTTGGCTGCTCCTTCTTAATATCATTTCATTAGTGTAAGCACTGTAATGTTAGGTAACTGGACATAGATGCAACTAATTTAACATTTTATTGTGGCAACGGTTCGCTCTCTAGGAGTTTGACAAAGCTCCACAATAAAACCTCACAGTAGTTGCATCTATGTCCATTTACCTAACATTCTGTTGGTAATTCTACCATTATTACATAGCACTGTAGTCATTTCCAGCTCAGCCACAATGCACTGTGGTCACAGTGAGGCCAGTGCTAACTTTTTTAGTGTACAGCAATACAGCTAGTTGGACAAATCTTATTAGACAGACAAGGTATAATGGTTAGCACACAACCTGCCATTTTGGGACTAGCTTACCATGGCTTCGAACCCCACCCATTTTCTCAGTTGTTTACAATCACGTCATTACAATTTCGAGTCACAGTAAAATAAGATGCAAGTATTTAGCATACTCCATAACTCTGACACAAACAGGCTCTAATAAGGATATGTTGAGAGACATTTCGGTATTGTAGTTGTACAGTGAAAGGAACAAGATGGGTGCAAAGGGAGGGTAATAAGGGACACAAAACAGTTATACCAGGTACGTATTTGCAATTGGGCTAAAATCTAGTGAGGCTAAAATGTAAACAGAACTTTTTTTCTTTTGCTCATAGGAAGGTGTTAAATCTATAAGGGTTTCACAATACCTGGGGAATCTCAGGTTTGACCAAAAAATCAAGAGTCCTTCACCAGCATCAAGGCACCCACCATAAAGGGTGGACTAAATTTGAACCTACTACATACACAGTTACTACTGCTGCTGCTGAACATGATTATTGATGATAATGGCTGACAATGATAATGATTGATGATGCTATTGATGGACTTGATAATGAAATTCATAGAATATTTAGAGGCAGGTATAAAGGTAAACTAGAATGATATACAGTGCCTAGTACAAGAGCCAGATTTAGTCTATGGATGAAGGTTATAGCACAATATGTTAAAGAATGACATGACAAGATTGCCCAGAAGAATTTTGATAATGTGAATGAGGGTGAACATAGTCACAGTGATGAAAATGGTTTTGAAAACTGACAAGTTGAAGAACAAGACACTTGTGCAACACATGTCTCATTCTTCGCTGAATGCAGTATTACTGTATTTCATATTAGGAGAGATGTGTACAGTATAAACTTTCAATTTTATTTCCATAAGAGATTTTGAGGGCTTGCCAGGCCTCAATCAACACTTCACAGTCCACACTCAAAGAGGTCTAAACCTTGAAATGGTCAATAAAACTAAAACACATACAATAATTGATATATTTGAGCTTAGAAGTACACAATCCAGCTACAACTGTCATTGGAAGCTAAAATTCAGCGTTATGTGTTGCTTGCTAAGTAAAATTTAAATGTCGATTAAGTTTTAAAAGTAAAAACACTTTTTACTTTTAATAAATTCTAGGAAAACATGTTTTTATTTTTATTAAAATTAATTTGTTGTGCAGTTTACCTGTACACAATATATAAGGAAATTTTCATAAATACAATACCTGTAATTTAAAAACACACTCATCACATGCTTGCCTGGCTTAACTGAATGGGTTCTCGACTGCTAGTTCAGATATGAAACCAGATAAATGACAGGGTTGAGGATAAAAATTATTTGGATAGAGGGTTTCAATTTACTAGCTAAGTCCATGGCCAAAAAAAGCAAGCAAAGCTTAGAAGTAATGCAAAGAGATTAGAACACTATTACTAGAAACGTGTACTAACATCAATGCCAAGTAAGTGAAGGCTTGGAGGGTTTGTGGTACCCAATCTCCGTAACCTTTTCAAACCATCAGCAAACTGCAGCTGGACCTAAAAGATTAAAGATTCAGAAAAAGACTAAACTAAATGTAACACTAAACAGATCTTCCAAAATAGAATTATTATAATTATAGGGAAGTGCTAAACCCATTCGGGGCCATAAAACGCCTGGGGAAAAGGAGGTAATCAGGCTTGATCCATGGAAGAGGTGGATATTATGTTCATAAAGGATCATTAAATATGTATAGACCATACAGAAGAGGGTACCTCCAATTCCTTGAATCAACAGCCCTTATACTAGCATTAAGACATAACCAGCCCCTGATGGGTTCCAAAACAAGAATATTGCTTGCAACAAAAGTTGAAAAAATATAAATTATAAATCTATTGTATATTCTAAAAACATATTTTCTTAATTTATATTAATACTTATACTTTATGTAAAGCACAAAACCTTTGATAGTCAGTCAACACAATGACTGGTAAAGACTCAAGCCTCCATTTACCAGAGTGAAACACAATACCTAATTGAAACCTCTTGTAATTATGTATAATTTTTATGGAAAACTCCCTATGAGAGTTATAGCCATTACAGAATAAGTATGTACAGTATATCTGTTTTGTGATCAAATATTACATACAGCCTATTTTTTTTTGGTGTTTTTCTTAAGATTACATCCATGGTCCGAATTTGCTCCCATGCAGTTAAGTACCAACCAAAGCTGAAGATGGGAAGGTCAAGTATACTGTAATAAGTTAATTGTCAATGAGGTTTAGTTTTATATTTTCAAAGGTAAAAATAACATATGCTATACTGTACTATCCAAGACATGGAAAACAAAACATATTCATTCCAGTGAATACATCTCATTCCCAAAGTTATTCCATAATAATAATAACAGTAATAATAATAATAATAAATTTATTTCTTTTCTGCAGTATACAGGTAGTGTAGCTTCATTGTAATAAAACACTGTTAGGCACAAAAAGCCACAAGCATGCAGTGCATTTCTTATGTATCTAAGTGTACTATATTTGCATGTTTTGAGCCTACCTAGATACATTAACTATTTTGTATTATAAGTAAAATTATTTTATTACATTTGGGGGGAAGCACTAAACCCATATGGGTCATTCAGTGCCTACCTGGGCAATTATTCTGTATAAAATTTTTAGTATCATATTAAACTGGCTATATATTTTTTGTACAAACATCTAATAAAATACTGTACATGTTCTTTAATGATAGAAAGATTAGCATAAAATATACAGTGGTACTTTGGGATACAAAGCTTCATTCCAGAAGGCTGTTCGAGTGCCAATATGAAACAAATTTATTCTCAAAAATACACTTACAAAAGTACTTACATAACTGTTCGAGTTTTGAACTGTTCGTATCCCGAGGTACCACTGTAGTTTATCGACATACCACGATACTAAATTTTCCTTTATTATCTTACCTACACACATAGGTAATTTCTTTAAGCTAGTAATGAAGATACTTGAGGGCCAGGTCCCAAAACCACACATTACCATAACAGTAAATGGGAATGAAAGGTACGGGAGAAAGTGTAAAATATACTCTGTGAATAACAAAAAGGCACAATACCATGACTGGAACAATACACAAATAACCCACACATAGGCCTATATATACTCCCTCCTCTCCTTTTTGTTAGTGTGACTTTGTAACTGGTCCAAGTCGGACTAAAATGTCGTTGTAAGCTCCTCCTATGTGCGGGTTGTGTGTATACACTCTGTGAAAATCAGACACGCCACGGACACAATAAGAGAACAGTGTCAACATCCGTGGTCCATCAGCAGTATAAGTTTTAGGTACAGGTAAACGTAAGTACAATTATCTTAGTGTAAATTACCTAGGATAACCCAAATGAAGTGCTATTGGTGTCCTTGGAGCAAGACCCAATTCCTTGGATCAAGAGCCCATCATCAGCATCAAGGAACCACCTCTAAGGTTATTTTCAGCCACAATAAAGGTGAATAAGTTGGTTTATAACTTACTGGTTGTTTAGGAGGTATAGCTTCTCCACCGGCGTCACCATCCCTGATGATAACATTCACTTCCACCTCGTCCTCTGATGCTTCTCCCTCTTCTAACTCATCTTCTTCCATCCTGGCATCTCCCTCGTCATCTGTCAACTCTCCTTCCTCAGGTTGAAGGTCATTAGGTACCTCAATCTTCAAATTAGTGAAGCCCACTCTACTACCTTCCAGTCCCGCCATGTTTGTTCTCTTGTTTACATCTTCACTTCTACTCTTAACATTTATCAACATCTATCTTTACTTTTATCTGCATTACTTTAAAAATATTTATAAATCAATATAATTTTTAATACGAAAAGTAAAGCATGAAATATCTAATAGGAAATACATTAGCATATTGCCTTAGAAACTTGGGGTAACTGACCTAATAATAATAATAATAATAATAATAATAATAATAATAATAATAATAATAAATAATATCACTAATAATATCAAATCATATCAAATAATAAAATAAAATAATAATCAAATATATAAAAAATAAAAAATAATAATTAAATATAAAATAAAATAATCAAATATATATTTTGTTATAATTTTCTAAATTATGTTCACAGGAAAACGCTAAACTTGTTAACAAGGAAATAAGTACTAAACCCTATTGGGTTATACAATAATCAAGGAAAATGTTATGATCCTTTAGGACCAAATAACACATATAGAATAGGGGTATATAAGTCTGATCTATGATAGGAGAGGATTTATCTAATTCCTTGGATCAAAAGCCCATCACAAGCATCAAGGGCAGGTCTCATAACACCTGCTGCCAATATTAATAAGCAGGAAATATGTATGTACTTGCAAGTTGGGCTGTAGTAGGTCTCATGCTGGAGAATGACCTTTTATAAGAACCCCCATTGAAAGCAAGCCACACTGCTTGACATTCTTGGGTTATTGATACAGTGGGGTTAATAATTCCAATAAATTCTATGCCACTGTAACATTATAGGGTTACCCTGGGTTAAATCTAGTATAAACTTAACCACCTGCAGCATCAAGGTAAATCAGTGAATGAAAAAATCACGAACTATATTTCAACTTGCAATTGATTCTGTCAGGGGCAGATCTAATTGTTATATACTGACTTATCTCCAGAAATGTAAAGAGCCTAGAAATAGGTCAGAAATGAAAAGTACTTGTGTTTATATAAAGCAAATTAATTCTTGTGGCTGGAGGAGGGGTCAATGGTCTTTTTTCACCACCACTCACTATTGAATTTGAATGCCCATCACACAAGTTTCAAGCAGCAGCAGAGTATATTCAGATGTTTCATGGGAATACAACAGCATTAATGATGGTGTTGTATTCCAGCCAGGCTCTTCTCTTTGGTGGCAGACTGTATATAACTGCCACTGACATCCCTCAGTGGTCAACATTCCTGCTGGGTAATATGAGGAGTCTTGTGTAATTACTTGTTTCAAGTTACAGTAATAAAATGAAGCTTATTATGTCCCATCTTCTTGAATATATCAAACCCATATTTTAAAATTTTCAGTTCTTGTAACTCATACAGCTTTCTCTGTATATGTAACATAGGTTGCTTATACAAACTCTTACTCAATTTCAAATGTGTAAGGAGGATTTAAAAAATAGAGGACTTATAACATTTTAATATGTGCCTAAAATCATAAAATTATAAATATTTTTAACAATGCTGGATACAGGTTGGTACCCCCTCTCCACTGATGCTTACCAGAATTTGACAAGCACATTGTTATAATTTATTCCATCATACTAAATATTCAGTATCTAGGTACAACAACCATAAACAATTTATAGAAATAGCATATACTATTTAGCAAATATGAAAGCAATAGTTAATATGCAAGAATATTTTATCATATTTTAATTGCAACTGTACACATTTTAAGGGTAGCAAGGGGCTAGTAACCCCTTCTCCTGTATAAAATACTAAATGTAGAAACAAAAGCTTTCGTATCCTACCTCGGCGGGATATGGCTAGTTTGTGGAAAAAAAAAATTAAGAATGTGCAAAACAAGAATTTATCATGAGAAGGCTGTGTTAAGTAAGTATTTAAATTCCAGCGCCTACAGGTACCCTATGCTTTAATTAGGCACTTTCAACTCCATCAGAAAAGATTAAAGATTAAAGGGAAATTTTATTTTTTTTTTATTATCACACTGGGCGATTCCCACCAAGGCAGGGTGGCCCGAAAAAGAAAAACTTTCACCATCATTCACTCCATCACTGTCTTGCCAGAAGGGTGCTTTACACTACAGTTTTTAAACTGCAACATTAACACCCCTCCTTCAGAGTGCAGGCACTGCACCTCCCACCTCCAGGACTCAAGTCCGGCCCGCCGGTTTCCCTGAATCCCTTCATAAATGTTACTTTGCTCACACTCCAACAGCACGTCAAGTATTAAAAACCATTTGTCTCCATTCACTCCTATCAAACACGCTCACGCATGCCTGCTGGAAGTCCAAGCCCCTCGCACACAAAACCTCCTTTACCCCCTCCCTCCAACCCTTCCTAGGCCGACCCCTACCCCGCCTTCCTTCCACTACAGACTGATACACTCTTGAAGTTATTCTGTTTCGCTCCATTCTCTCTACATGTCCGAACCACCTCAACAACCCTTCCTCAGCCCTCTGGACAACAGTTTTGGTAATCCCGCACCTCCTCCTAACTTCCAAACTACGAATTCTCTGCATTATATTCACACCACACATTGCCCTCAGACATGACATCTCCACTGCCTCCAGCCTTCTCCTCGCTGCAACATTCATCACCCATGCTTCACACCCATATAAGAGCGTTGGTAAAACTATACTCTCATACATTCCCCTCTTTGCCTCCAAGGACAAAGTTCTCTGTCTCCACAGACTCCTAAGTGCACCACTCACTCTTTTTCCCTCATCAATTCTATGATTCACCTAAATCTTTCATAGACCCATCCGCTGACACGTCCACTCCCAAATATCTGAATACGTTCACCTCCTCCATACTCTCTCCCTCCAATCTGATATTCAATCTTTCATCACCTAATCTTTTTGTTATCCTCATAACCTTACTCTTTCCTGTATTCACCTTTAATTTTCTCTTTTGCACACCCTACCAAATTCATCCACCAATCTCTGCAGCTTCTCTTCAGAATCTCCCAAGAGCACAGTGTCATCAGCAAAGAGCAGCTGTGACAACTCCCACCCTGTGTGTTGATTCTTTATCTTTTAACTCCACGCCTCTTGCCAAGACCCTCGCATTTACTTCTCTTACAACCCCATCTATAAATATATTAAACAACCACGGTGACATCACACATCCTTGTCTAAGGCCTACTTTTACTCGGAAAAAAATTTCCCTCTTTTCTACATACTCTAACTTGAGCCTCACTATCCTCGTAAAACTCTTCACTGCTTTCAGTAACCTACCTCCTACACCATACACTTGCAACATCTGCCACATTGCCCCCCTATCCACCCTGTCATACGCCTTTTCCAAATCCATAAATGCCACAAAGACCTCTTTAGCCTTATCTAAATACTGTTCACTTATATGTTTCACTGTAAACACCTGGTCCACACACCCCCTACCTTTCCTAAAGCCTCCTTGTTCATCTGCTATCCTATTCTCCGTCTTACTCTTAATTCTTTCAATTATAACTCTACCATACACTTTCCCAGGTACACTCAACAGACTTATCCCCCTATAATTTTTGCACTCTCTTTTATCCCCTTTGCCTTTTACAAAGGAACTATGCATGCTCTCTGCCAACCCCTAGGTACCCTACCCTCTTCCATACATTTATTAAATAATTGCACCAACCACTCCAAAACTATATCCCCACCTGCTTTTAACATTTCTATCTTTATCCCATCAATCCCGGCTGCCTTACCCCCTTTCATTTTACCTACTGCCTCACGAACTTCCCCCACACTCACAACTGGCTCTTCCTCACTCCTACAAGATGTTATTCCTCCTTGCCCTATACATGAAATCACAGCTTCCCTATCTTCATCAACATTTAACAATTCCTCAAATATTCCCTCCATCTTCCCAATACCTCTAAATCTCCCTTTAATAACTTCCTCTCCTATTTTTAACTGACAAATCCATTTGTTCTCTAGGCTTCCTTAACTTGTTAATCTCACTCCAAAACTTTTTCTTATTTTCAACAAAATTTGTTGATAACAGCTCACCCACTCTCTCATTTGCTCTCTTTTTACATTGCTTCACCACTCTCTTAACCTCTCTCTTTTTCTCCATATACTCTTCCCTCCTTGCATCACTTCTACTTTGTAAAAACTTCTCATATGCTAACTTTTTCTCCCTTACTACTCTCTTTACATCATCATTCCACCAATCGCTCCTCTTCCCTCCTGCACCCACTTTCCTGTAACCACAAACTTCTGCTGAACACTCTAACACTACATTTTTAAACCTACCCCATTCCTCTTCGACCCCATTGCCTATGCTCTCATTAGCCCATCTATCCTCCAATAGCTGTTTATATCTTACCCTAACTGCCTCCTCTTTTAGTTTATAAACCTTCACCTCTCTCTTCCCTGATGCTTCTATATCTCCTTGTATCCCATCTACCTTTTACTCTCAGTGTAGCTACAACTAGAAAGTGATCTGATATATCTGTGGCCCCTCGATAAACATGTACATCCTGAAGTCTACTCAACAGTCTTTTATCTACTAATACATAATCCAACAAACTACTGTCATTTCGCCCTACAACATATCGTGTATACTTATTTATCCTCTTTTTCTTAAAATATGTATTACCTATAACTAAACCCCTTTCTATACAAAGTTCAATCAAAGGGCTCCCATTATCATTTACACCTGGCACCCCAAACTTACCTACCACACCCTCTCTAAAAGTTTCTCCTACTTTAGCATTCAGGTCCCCTACCACAATTACTCTCTCACTTGGTTCAAAGGCTCCTATACATTCACTTAACATCTCCCAAAATCTCTCTCTCTCCTCTGCATTCCTCTCTTCTCCAGGTGCATACACGCTTATTATGACCCACTTCTCGCATCCAACCTTTACTTTAATCCACATAATTCTCGAATTTACACATTCATATTCTCTTTTCCTCCTTCCATAACTGATCATTTTAACATTACTGCTACCCCTTCCTTTGCTCTAACTCTCTCAGATACTCCAGATTTAATCCCATTTATTTCCCCCCACTGAAACTCTCCTACCCCCTTCAGCTTTGTTTCGCTTAGAGCCAGGACATCCAACTTCTTTTCATTCATAACATCAGCAATCATCTGTTTCTTGTCATCCGCACTACATCCACGCACATTTAAACAACCCAGTTTTTATAAAGTTTTTCTTCTTCTCTTTTTTAGTAAATGTATACAGGAGAAGGGGTTACTAGCCCATTGCTCCCGGCATTTTAGTCGCCTCATACGACACGCATGGCTTACGGAGGAAAGATTCTTTTCCACTTCCCCATGGACAATAGAAGAAATAAAAAAGAACAAGAGCTATTTAGAATAAGGAGAAAAACCTAGATGTATGTATATATATATATGCATGTGCGTGTCTGTGAAGTGTGACCAAAGTGTAAGTAGGAGTAGCAAGATATCCCTGTTATCTAGCGTGTTTATGAGACAGAAAAAGAAAACCAGCAATCCTACCATCATGCAAAACAGTTACAGGTTTTTGTTTCACAGTCATCTGGCAGGACGGTAGTACTTCCCTGGGTGGTTGCTGTCTACCAACCTACTACCTTTTATATACACCCTTAATACCTAATTAATAGCATGCATGCATGAGTGTTTGATTACCTAATTTTGTATGTATGCAATTACCTACAGTATTAGTGATTATTTAGACTTACTGGGATAAACCTGGAGGTAATCAAGTTTGATCCAAGGAAGGGAAGTTCCACTTCCTTGAATAAAGAGTCCTTCATTTTCATCAAGGCACCCCTTTTGAAAGGTATAAGAGCAGAGCTATGCTCAAGGTGCCCCATCTTCAATGTTTAGTTTGTCACATATAATACTATGTTTAGCTTTTTACATATAGTAATACTAGAGTTAGTAAAACACATCTGGTACAAGTATGTACCACCTTCTCTGGTATCAGATTTCAAAAGTTTCCCTTTAATTGTGAAGAGTTGCATTTTAGCATCCTTTTGGTACTATTTATTTTGTTTACAATTAAACTCTTATTCTCCCTGTTAAAGATGTTTTAAGTTCTCTTCACTCAAGTCACTTAGCAGAAAATATTTGAGCGCTGAAGACAGAACTACACATACAACACTGCTCCTGTAACTACACATCTAAGTCATTCACTCAGAAATTCATGGAAATTTTATTACATGGCAGAATGAGTGTATGGAAAGAAATATATAGTGTAGTACAGTACTTGCATATTTATTAGTCCATATGAAGACAAAGACATTACAGTCAATTGGTAGATCAATGGACAAACAGCAAACACTAAACTAATACTTAGAAAGGGTGATAGGGAGGACCCTTTAAATTATAGTCCTGCCTATCATCATCATTACTGAACAATCTTTAATAGTAAATTAATATTTTATTACAATTTCATAAATAGCTGATCATTTCCAACTTATCAATTATAATTTTACTATTTTAGGGAATATTCATATCTGTGCCTTTATTACTTTTTTACTTCCTGTCACGACCTTCTACTAGATTCACAAAAAAAAAAAAAACTATTTAGTCTTTCAGCATTAAGAGTTAACCCAAAATGCTCAACATACTAAGAGCTTCCATACTGTTATACAGTATTTATATATACTGTAGTTTTGAAATAAACTGATCATTATAATTATTATTAGCTGCATGGGGAAGTGGAACAGAATTCTTCCCCCGTAAGCCATGCGTGTCGTAAGAGGCGACTAAAATGCCGGAGCAAGGGGCTAGTAACCCCTTCTCCTGTATAAATTACTAAATTTAAAAAGAGAAACTTTCGTTTTTCTTTTTGGGCCACCCTGCCTCGGTGGGATACGGCCGGTGTGTTGAAAGAAAGAAGTATCTAAAAAAGTAATGAGGAATTTGATGAAAACACCTGGAGAGCAAAGAACTACTGTTCAACAGGACAGTGCGAGATCAACAAAATCCTGTAACAGTGTATTTAGTACAGTTTAGTACTGTGTTAACAAATGTTCCATGACATGATAACTTACCAAAGTTACTGGCCAGTTTTGCTGAAAAATCCCTACTTTATACAATATCAGGCTTTTTGTAAAGAAGACTGTACAAAATCACTATAAAGGAGAGAACTTAGGAGAAAAGCATTTGCCTTAATTTTTGTCTATTTAAAATTCCAGATCTTCAAATCCCTTCCTCTGTATATTTACTCATAAAAGTGACACAATTACAAAATAACCCCTGTGTTCATATGAAGAGATCACCCACATGGTTATAAGCAATAATAAATAATCAAATTTTACAATACACAATACTGTATATGGATGTCATGCTTGTTAGGCAAATTTGCTGGTTAACTGGACACAGATTTGCCAAACCAAGCATAAATTTCCTGTCGCAGCAAATTCAAGAAAATGAGTTTGATCATGAAATTAATACTGATGTTAAATTATATTAATTTTAGCAAGGTTGTTGCAAAGATACTTTTTTGGCAAAATAAAAAATTTGCATACCATGTTAATTCACATGAAAATATTAGATAAAAATTTAAAATACGTGTTTTAGAGGTTTGTTTAACTCACTGTATAGAGCATGTGTGAATACCTATGTATAGCTACAAGAGCAGAGCTAAGGGCATGGCATCTCATCATCAGCATTTAATCTACTTATTACATATTTTTTTAATTTCGAGTGATTGTAGCATTTACCACTAATTTAATTCTATTCTATTATTCTACCAGCATTTAGGAGAAAAGATTTTATTATCCCTTCTAAACCACTTTTTTTTCAGCTTATAACTGTAGCCTCTTGAGCTTGTTGATGATGCTAAGAAATCTTAAAGTATTTTCTCGAATGCATTTACTTACGATTTTATACGTTATTGGCTATTATATCTCCTTTCTCTCTATCAGCCAATGAGGGCACTTATAAAGATTTTGCCCTTTTTCTGTAACTTTTTTCTAGTTTTGGCAAACCATTTTGTAGTTGATCCTTGGACTTTTTCTATATTATCCACATTCATTAAGGCACAGACAAGACACAACCAGTGCATATTCCATTCCAATTTTAGTCTAATATACAGTGTGAACAGTTCTTTTAGCAATTTTCTATCCATCAACATGAAGACCATTTGTTTGCCAACAATGCATATGCCATCTTTCTTATAATTTTATTTATGTGATTTTCTGGCGAGTCTTACTGATGATGGCTCCTAGACTCTAGTAATGATCTGTTTCTACTCCACTCCAGTTGCTTCTATACTGTGCTAATAGTAATGATCTGTTTCTACTCCACTCCAGTTGCTTTACTGTGCAAATACTACATAGTCGTGACTGGCAATTTGTTCATAGTTTCAGGGGAAAATTTCTTTTAAAATTGGTTTATACCTACCATACGCCACTTACGGGCTATCCAGTCTACTTCTTTATCATTAAAACTTTTGATCACAATGATTTTTTCCTTATCACGCTTGCTTAATAGTTCCTTTAGCATACCTTGCAATCTTCATTCATCTGTTTATATTCTTTTCTATCTGCCGTGTTGTTAGACAGGCTACATCCACTGACTATTAGGACTTTCTGTTTTCTGTGTCTACCACTAGATTTGATAGCATATACAAACTTAGAAGTTTTTATAGCATGAAGTTTCTTTCACAGATATTGCTAACTGTCCATCTTTCTTTCCTATTTTCCACATTGGGTAGTTTTCCATTTTACATTTAGAATGCTTTTACCAGTATGGTCTTAGTTAGGTAAGTTTCTCATTTATAATGTCCATTTTTGACGGTAAAACACTGGAATGGGATACAAGAGAATGTAGTAAGTGCTACAGCCACTGGAGGCCTTTAAAAATTACATGACAAACTAAAGAACACAGATGAGAGACAATGAGTATAACTCAGCTACTATAACTACAGACAGGTACAGTAATTGCAAATAAGGCATTTCAAACACTGTATTAAACAAAACCTTGTATCAAGGAACAACAATGAATGCACATAGCCTATATGAATCTCCTACATTATGAAAAAACTGAAACCAGGATAATTTTTGAAAGAATGTACAAAAACTTAAGTGTGCTGCAGGAGTCGATTAAAGGCATTGTATGCCGATTCCAAATCAAAGATCATCTGTCGAACTTGAGTTTCTGACAAAGTCTCATCTGCTGTCATACCTTCCAGAGTCCCAATCCATTCCTTAACTTTTGCTCGGCCTTCAAAATCCTGTGGAGATGTGAGCAAGGCTTATAATATACAAATAAAAGAGAAATTATTAAATAATACGGAAATCAAAACATGAGAAAGTTAATATATTAATCTCCCAGTCTTGTCTAGTTTGAACATCATACACAAAATTTTATGTAAAGTCTCACTGGATACTTTTCACCAGGTTTCTCCAGATAAAATCCTGATCTCATGAATATTCCAAATTTATGTCTTATGAAATATAGCAGTACCTTGACAAATACGATAGAAACAAAATTGGATTTAAGTGAAGCTAACTTGGGCAATTGTCCAGGAGCCCACACAAAGTCAAAATGAGAAGAGAACACTGAAAACCTACCTCCTGTGTGCAAAGCTCAACATCTGTAGGTAAACAATGACAACAGCTGAGAAATGAGAACAAAGACACTGGTAACAAAGGTTCATTTTAATAAAACACTGTATTAAAAGGATCCTCTGCAAGTGTCTATCCTCAATATTTTTGCTTAAACTACAAAATAGCTCTATAATCATTAGTAGTAGCAGCAACAACACTCTAAAGGAGGGGTTAGAGGTATCTGCTGTTTGAAGGGGCATCTTCATTGTCTTATTTGTATGCCCCTGGCAAGACAGTGATAATGTAAATGATGGTGAAATTGTTTCTTTTCAGGTCACCCTGCCTCAGTAGGAAATGTCCCGTGTGTTAAAAGAATATTGCTACTACTAATAATAAAAAATTTAACACCAGCTGTCTCCCACCAAGTCAGAGTGACCCAAAAAATAACAAAAGTTTTTCCTCTTTTTACATTTAATAAGTTATACATGAGAATGGGCTACCAGCCCCTTACTCCCAGAATTTTAGTTGTCTCTTACGACACACACAGTTTATGGAGGAAGGAGTCTTCTTCACTTCCCATGGAGAAATAATAATAATAAATTAATCCAGCAAAGAAACTCAGAAATTCAAATCTTGAGCCTTGTCTCTTTTCTGATAGTGATCTTTTTAAACACTTATCAAATTTGATAACGTACTTGTGGTATCACAGACAGTCTTGTCATGTTTTCTAGGAGGTCCTTCAAGTCTGGCTGCAGTTCATCATTTGCATTGATACCTAACCTCAGTTTGTCCATGACAGTGATGAACAACTGAACAAAAGAAAAGATTAAATTTCAAACTTATATTTAGAGTAATATAACTACTAATATAAAAAAAATTTAAACATGTAGTATATATTTATCTAATGAATTTTCTTGTCCATTCTGATACGATTTTTATTAACCTATTACATATCTCCCGTCATCTAACCTGAATTTCCAACTATCGGTAATTTTGAGCTACTTGTTTCAATAATTTTTTTCTTTATTAATTCTTTCAGTATTAAGCATTTTAGCCATTTTTATGCTTTAATATTTAGCTTATTGTACATGTGTGTGAAATTTATACAATACTGTGTGCAGTGTTCAATTTTTTATTACATACAAGACTATAAAAACTTTAAAATTTATTTATTTTATTTTGACTTAAAACCAGTATGAGTGAAAGAAAAACAATGTACCAGAAAGCTTACTGATTTCAAGAATAAAGTTTGCTACTTACAGATACTATATCAGCAATGCACTTGCTGGTATTGCCCTTGTCATCCTTAATGGTGATTGGACGATCTTCACGTATACGATCTAAAGCTGCTGGACAATCAAGCTGAAAATGTGAACATAAATGAAAAATTACAGAGTTGGTTATCTGTGTAGCAAATTCATTTTTTTATGCAAAAATCAGAGGTACCACTTTTCCCAGTGATTTTTTTTTATACGCTTCTCTTATGTATTTAATGCTTTAATCCATTTTCTACACCTTTATATCTAACATTAATATTTTTTCCACAAGGTCTGTATTTCACCATATTTCTTACCATTAATTTACTGTCATGTGTTTGCTGAAAGTAATCATTGGTTTCTCACTATTGATACCATTAACATCTTGTCCCAACTTGCTGTATCTTCTCCATCTCTATTCAATCACTCCACAAACTGAAGATCACGGAATCAGTTTCAAATAACACGTAATTCTTTTGTAATTAACCATTTGTCATCAGCAACCTTTCTTATTGTACTTATTACTGAAGTTAACTAACTGCATATGAAGTCCTACTTAATAGTCTATGTCTAGTTCTTAAGTAACATTTAAGCCTTATAATTAGTTTGCCCAATATGCAGTGCATAATTAATGGCCTTCTTTTGTGCCTACCAATGCTTTATTAAATGTAAACTGCATTATTTGTACTGCATATAGAAATAAAAATTGCATTGTATTATAATACTTGGCCTGGTCTTTGCTAGAAAGAAAAAAAATTCAATCAAATCTATGTAAACCCATTAAGAAGGAGCATTCACATTCTACTGAAAATAACTTATGCTCTGAAACATGACTTAATAAAGACTAAATCATAAGAAAGAAAAATGCAATTCTTTAAAGCAGTATTTGACTAAAAATATTAATAAAATTATCATTAATAATAATAATGACAAACTGATTAACAATCATAAAAAGAGTATAAATAATTTTTACCAAGAATTCTGTAATATTTACATAATTGAAATTAAACAGTCTAGTCCAAAAAGGGTATGTATATGAAGAAATATTAAAGAATAGTTTAAGGGAAAGTCTGGAGGGCTGTGAAAATATAAAAAAAAAAAGGACTTGCAACAAACATAGGAAGTGGGACAATCCAAAGACTTATCAGAGAAACAAAAAAACCCAGAAATGAGTAAACAAATAATGTAAATCAAGAAATTTGTTGCAAGTCTCATGAAAGATGAATTAGTATGAGAGGATGAGTTGGTATAGAGGTAAGATACAATCTCACTATTGCTTACAACTTATAGACAATTGTAGAGCAGAATAAAAAAAGTTTTCTATGTAAATTAGCTAGAAAACTAACCTTGTACTTTTTGACAAAGGCTTCCACTGTAGGGTATTCATCACACTGTACCAGTTTAAAGGCAGCTTTATATTGAACAAGTAGTTTGCTGCACCAGGCTGTGTACTCCTTGGGTGGAACCACATCCTAAAAACCAACATCAAAAGACTGTAGAAAATATATTTTACTGCTAACATTAAAATAATGACTAAGAAATAAAATAAAAATATAATTACTATACAGGTGGGCCTGTAAAGTGAAACATAGCCTTTTTTCAATGCCTCAACAGAGCTACATTAATCATACATAAATAACCTGCAGAGAGGAGAGGGGGCTTACAACGACATTTCAGACCGACTTGGACCATTAAGGGTTATTTGTGAATAGTTCCAGTCACGGTATTGTGCCTTTTTGTTATTTATCTACATAATCATACATTAAGGTTGGAACAATTACTTTTCCAGCTGATGTTTAAAACATGTTTCATTAAGTTTCCTGTCTTACAACACAACACTAGGTACCATAGTTACCAACCTTAATGTACATCTTCTCCAGAGATTGTAGAGTATTCATAACAGCATAGAGCTCAGCAAGGTTGTCATACCTGAAAAAAAAATTAAGACTATAATTCAATCCTTCACTTATGATCTATTAACAAAATGTCATAATATATAATGTTATTACAGTATAATATGTAACTTAATTTGAAAAAATACGTCATAATACCATGGCTAGGAGGAACTTCAAGAATCCTATAAATCAGAAATGATAACTGGAAAATGTTTCAGTGTATTCAGGATAATTGTTGCAAGTGAGAAGGAACAAGGTGAATGCCAGAAGATGGAGCAAGATCATAGCAAATAAAGAGGCAGACACTGCCATTAGCCATTACATTTGATGATCAAACCATTTGTTAATATACTGGGAAGAGAGTATCTACAGGAGCAAATCTAAGGTCATGGTCAGGATGGTGTGCATTAGTGCCAGTTCACAAAATCAAGACAAGGTGGGAAGATAATTTTAGAATAGGGTATGCTTTTACAGTTGAAACTTTAAATCTACTCAGTAGCCTTTAGTAAACCATAGAGTCAAATCTAGGAAGAAAAATGCTTGAAATTACCTTACATAGTGACACTTATTAAGAACACTTATTAAGCAACACTTATTAAGAATTCTCTGGAAGCCAAAACATTCCCAGAAACATATGTATAACAAAATGAGCAAGGGTTATACCAATCTACAATGGGGAGAATCCCAATGACATAAAAATCAATTGGTACAGGAAAATTTCTAACCAAATGATCCTAGATAAATTATAAATTCCTGAATCTATAACTAGACAAATGAAACCAGCCCACATATCCAGAACCCAACAAAAGCTTCAAAAACAGAGCCCATTCAGCCTATGCTGGATTAGGCACTAATCTACCTCTATTCCACAGTGTTTGTGCTAGTGCATCTACAACAGCAAACTAGTTATATGTCTTAATCTCAAGATAATTTTTCTTTACAAAATATTTTATCAATCCGAGAACTAACAAATTCTAGCACTTTAATTAACTTTACAAATTTACCACAGCTCAAGTTCATTATATTATCTAATCTAAGTTTTTCATTAGTTTTCCTGATATTTTTTTTTTGTTTTCTAGACACCCTTAATGTACATTATTATTATTATTACATTAATTGGGAAGAACTATCCAGTAGGGGTTATACAGAGCTTAGGGGAATGGAGGGCATTCAGACAATTCAAGAGATTGGAGCACAAGTCCAATTCCCCAGATCAAGAGCCCTTCATAAGCATCAAGGAACTTCATTCAAGGGAACACCTAATGAGCACTATTTACATCAACTTTCAAAAAATATAAAATATATGCCCAAAATGCAGTGCAACATCATGGGCTTTTCAGAAAAGAGAATAAACAAATTGGAAAACCATCAATGTATTTTATTACTTTTATGTGATTTCAAAAATAAATTTTCTCCATCATGTACTTTAAAAGTTCTAATCTCACACCAATCTAGCATTAAAAAATACAAATAATGATCACTGATATATTTATTCAAAATAATCAAACAACATACAGCATAAAAGACATATGAACAGAGTAAACCTTCTAGTTATTGACATTTCACTCTCGGTGGAGCTTTATTAGGTACAGTACATATTTCATAAAGCTCCACAGAGAGTGTATACCTGGAGAGGGTTTCGGGATCAATGCCCCCGTGGCCTGGCCCATGACCAGGCCTCGTGGTGGATCAGGGCCTGATCAATCAGGCTGTTACTGCTGGCCTCACATTAACCAACGTACAAACCACAACTCGGCTGATCAGATACTGACTTTCTGTGCCTGTCCAGCGCCTTCTTGAAGACAGCCAGGGGTCTATTGGTAATCCCTCTTATGTATTCTGGGAGGCAGTTGAACAGTTGAGTGAAATGAAATATCTTTAAATAAAGGGCTTACTCTATCCACGTGTTTTATATTTACCATTTGTTGGCTTCTACCCAAATAACATATATATAACAAATAAAAGAACATTATTTACTAGTAAACACTCACTTTTCTCTTTCCCGAGCATTAGTATAAAGCTTAACCTCTTCATAAAGCTCAGGGCGATTATGATCTGAAAAAAAAAGCTTTCAGTAAAGGCTAATATAATATACAAAGATGTTAAACATAAATATCAGCTGTTCCTAATTCAATCACAATGATTAAGATAAGATTTTATTTGGATTTTTAACCCAGAGATAATCCAGGATGACACAATAAATTCAGTGGGACATCAAGGACTGTGTCTTATTTCCATTGGGAACTTAGAAATGCCATCCCCAGGCTGCAACTCACAACAACCAGCTAGCATTCAGGTACCTAGTTACTGCTAGGTGAACATACCCAACATTTCACCTGCACTGAAGACTGATCCCACACACCTCAGTGTAAAAAACTTGCATTTGTGGTCACAGTGGTGCCTATGCTAACCTTCCTATGGTGTAGAAATATACCTAGTTGAACGAATCTTATTGTGGCTACTTGGTCCAGTGGCTAATGCGACGGTCTGGAGTTTTGAGAGTCTCTGACCGCAGGTTCAAATCCCGCCCATGGTATGGTTTGTTTGCAATCGTGTCATTACGATTTCACGAGTCACCTCAGTGTAAGCTGAGGAAGCTACCAACCAAGCCACAAGCACCTCTGCAGCTCAGTCTCGTTAGGGCGTGTTTCCTTAAGACACCTGCGATCATTGTTCACCTAACATAAATTGGTACCTGGGTGTTAGCTGACTGGTTTGGGTCACATCCTGGGGACAAAATTACCCTAAGTTGCCAGAAATACTCTGCATAATCAGGGGCTTTCTATATAGTATATCACTGATGTCAGTTACATGGGCCCTGTGGCCTGGCTGGCAAAGCTCTCGCTTCACACACTGAGGGTCCAGGTTTGATTCCCAGCAGGGTGGAAACATTGGATACATCTCCTTACACCTGTTGTCCCGGTCACCTAGCAGCAAGCAGGTACGTGGGTGTTAGTTGACTGGTGTGGGTCACATCTTGGGGGACAAGATTAAGGACCCCAATAGAAATAAGACAGTCCTCGATGACGCACTGACTTTCTTGGGTTATCCTGGGTGGCTAACCCTCCGGGGCTAAAAATCCGAACAAAAACTTATCTTACCTCGTGGTCCGTATAAGTTGTATCGTGTACTTGTAGAAATAATGATTGTTATATTATTATTATTACTGGGGTCCTTAGTACCTAAATAAATTTACTTACCTAATAAGGGGTTTTCTATAAAGTACCTATATGTCAGTCACCTCAACTGTGTAATATACTCCACTTTATATTATTATTATTATAATCAAAAAGAAGTGCTAAACCTACAAGGGTCATACAGCTCCACTTTATACAAATTATTATAATCAAGGGGAAGCGCTAAACCCGTAGGATTATACAGCGCCTATAGGGGGATGGAAGGTATTTAGGCTTAATTCATGGAACTGGAGCACAGATCCAGTACCCTAGATCAAGAGCCCCTTACCAGCATCAAGGAACCTTCCTTAAGGGGTCCACTTTATATGAATAAAGTTTTTGTATATAAATATTACCCTGAGTAGTGTTGGAAGACAAGGCACCGAACATTGCTGTGTAATGGCAGACTTCACGCTAGTTATGTCTTTCCTCTATATATGTAGGACCACCACACACTTTCCTTCTTTGTAGCAAGTGTGAGGTGTAAGTAGAAGAGAGAGAGTGTGTGTGGCTGTAAGTAGGAGACACTTAAATAAGAGATGTCAGGTGCACAGCTGACTCTTCTTTTTGTTGTTGAGATTGTTAAGAGTCACCAAAGTTTACACCTTATTGAACCCGGGTTCACGGGAGTCAGGGGAGACATTAGTTTCTCACCTATGTGTGGTTGCAGGGGTTGAGCCATAGCTTCTGGCCCCGTAAATGGACATAGATGCAACTAAATTTATTTAAGTACTGGTATACATAAAAACAATTATCATACATAGTGTAAATAATTTAGGATAACCCAGAATAAGTCAGACAATGTGACTTATTTCCTTTGAACCCCAATGAAACATGTCACTGTTAGTGGCTTTCTTTGTGGTTAACAATATTTCACTACATGTAAACTACACATTGTATACTATGCAAAAAAGGAAAATTTTGAATTTCATTTTGAATGAAGAGGACTGGGCTTTCTTGCTGGCTCCATGAGATCTGGTAAGGCGAGACACCATGGAAAAATTTATGAGAGTAGAAAGGACCCCAATAGAATAAGTAAGTAAGTAAGTAAGTAAGTTTATTCAGGTATACACAAATACAGTTACATAGAATTATCATACATAGCAGCATATGTGTAGAGAACCTAGGATAACCCATTCAGTCATTTTGACTTGTTTTGGGGTAATGCTATGTTCTCAACACATATGCTGCTATGTGTGATAATCTATGTAACTGTATTTGTGTATACCTGAATAAACTTACTAAAGGGACAGCTGCAAAGTGCAAATTTCAGGAACAAGCAGGAGTTAGCAAGTGAAGCTTCTACAGACATTTGAAGTGGCATCTTGCACAGATGTTTGTCAGATTCCATAGAAGAAGAAATTGGAGTGCAGAGGTAGCTTTATTCTGCCATAATTGGCAGAAAGAATTAAGAATGATCTCCGTTGTTCCTCTTATGGCGACTGACTGCTCAAAATTGAGCTATACGTAAGTTTATTCAGGTATACACAAACACAGCTACATAGATTATCATACATAGCAGCATATATGCAGAGAACCTAGCATAACCCAAAAAAGTCAGTGATTTATTTCCATTGGGATGATAGAGACAGGATCTATACATAGTTTTAAGAACAGGTATGATAGGGCTCATGCAGCCAGGAGAGGGGGAAAAACCTTTACTGGACAGGAAAGAAGTCATATTTCTAACATTTGTTCATTAGCTTCCTTTCTTATTGTACACATAATTGTGGTGAAATGCATAAATAGTCTTTAAGTATTAGGATTAGTTTGCTTTGTTTGTACCTAACAATGCTTTATTGCATCTAAACTACATTATTTTTGTACTGTATAAAAATAAATGAAAATGTGAATCTTGAGCTGAGTACACAACACTGGAATCAACACCAACAGGCTTTTGGTTGGCCTGATGGACCTGATGGACCTGACTAACTGGTGAGCAGCAGCAGCAGCAGGAAGAAGGAGTGTCAGTGTGTGATGACACAGCTCCTAGAGAAGGAAAACATGGGAATTTCATCACTAATGTACGAGAGTTTATTTAGGCACAGGTACACATAAGTACAATTATCATACACAGTGTAAATTACCTAGGATAACCCAACAAAGTCAAAGTGATTTATTTCCATTTAGGTCCTTGTATTTCCAGGGGTAAGTAAGGTTAGACATTAAACATTCACTAATACTAAGTCTCAGCGGGGCCAGGAGCTGAGAATCGACTCCTGCACCCTAAAATAGGTGAAGTTTCTCATAACAAACACCAGCTCCACCTACCTAAATTTTTATTTATTTTTCCTCTCTCATAAAGTACAAAATTGGGTGAGAAATCTTTTGATCCGAGGAAGTGGACGCACCCTTTCCTTATCAAAACTAAATATTAAAGGAACCATCACCCCTACGGGTTTAACTCTTCCATATGGATATTATAACAGTAAAAATACTTGAGTGAATATTAGTAATACCGAGAATAATTATATAAATAATTAAATATATATATTAAAGATTAAAGATGTTATCTTCATTGTAGAACAATAAGAAAATATTATAACCTTTATACTATAATAATAAGGTAAAAGGACCCCAATGGAAATAAGTCACTCTGTCTGACTTTTTTGGGTTATCCTAGGTTCTCTACACATATGCTGCTATATATGATAATTCTATGTAACTGTATTTGTGTATACCTGAATAAACTTACTTACTTACTTACTTACTTATATTTTAGCTTGACAAAGTTAACATTATTTTCAAAAATATAATATTTTCCAGTCAATTTTCGTACAAATATAATATTTTCTTCGTAATTTTTTTTATAATAAGTATTTATAATATTGTTTGTACATATATTTAATACTGCTGTTTGAAAATGTATTAAAATAATGTTATGCAGATATACTTCTTTATATAACATTTTAACAATAATTTAATTATAAATTGCACATAACAATACATATAAGAACATTATATATATATATAAATATAATTTGTAATATAAATTAGTTTTCTTGGTGAGGTAGTTGATAATATTTGTTCCACTCAGCAGCAGCCGCCATCACCGAGGTCTTCCCTGGGAAGGTACGTGTGTTTTTATCACGCTTCATCCACGTTATAGTCGGTTATTTACTTGTAATACATGAATATATTTGTTATTTATCCAAGAAATATTATTGCTAGGAATGGCTACGAAGGTATTTTTTAGGTTTGTAAGAAATGCTGGAGGTGTTTTGATTTTTAAAAATTGTGGCCATGTTGGGTTGCATCACTGACCATGCTCTCGTTCAAGTTATTTCTTACACCGTAGATTAATGCCGGTATAAAGAATATAAGAATGAACGAATAGGCCTACTGACACGTTCGGCAGGTTAAATTCGCACTGCAAGCCTACTGGTCACTGCTAGGTACGGTTTAACTCTCCCAATTTTGGTCTGTTTTAACCTAATTTTAAACCTATGCCATGTTTTTCCTTCAGTGATGCCACTTGGGAGTTTATTCCACTTATCCTCAACTTTTACCGAACAATCGGAGTCCTATATTCTTTCAAACTAAATATTTCCAACTTGCTCATTACAGAGTCCTGTCTCTTGTTATTCTTTTCATAAATTTAGTTATATCCTTATTCATTGCTGTTGTCCATTAACATACCATCGTATCTAATTATATTCTACAGATTGCAGATTCAGGTCTTTTCTTGACGTAAGAAAAAAAATTTAAATATAAACTATTGTCATCCTTCTTTGTTTTCCAGCTCATTTATAAGTATTCTGTAATATGGAGACCAGAACTTGGCACAGCATAATCTGAGGCCTTACCAAGGATATATAACGTATAAACTCGATGTATAGGAGAGGACACCAATAGAAGTGTCACTTGGACTTTTTTGGGTTATCTTAGGTAATCTACATAGGCTGCTATGTATGATAATTTGTGACTATTTGTGTACCCATACCTGAATAAACTTAAGAGGATTATATTAGCGTTTTGAACACTAATGCACTGTTGTCTTGGCTTTAAGTTACTGCTAACCAGAGCTAAATCATGATGTACTATAAATATATAGGTGGGTGTGAGTTGCACCTGACTAGCTTATGCCAGTATGACTGCTGCAGTGGGTAAAGTAAAATTTATAAGGCAGAAATGTGTCTTTAGACCTTAATTTTATTTAGCTAATTGACAGTAGCTTCAGATTGTCATTTATTCCATCAATTTTTTGATAATTATCTATAATTCTAAACTAAATCTCCTTTGTAGAGGTTGATCACATTTTTTTTCCCCACTCGTCTAGGACTATAATGCTCATGTCCTCAGGTTGTTCAACTCTATATCCTTGGTTAGGCCTCGTTTACATTATGCTGCACAGTTTTGGTCACCGTATTACAGAATGGATATAAATGCTCTGGAAAACGTACAAAGGAGGATGACAAAGTTGATCCCATGGATCAGAAATCTTCCCTATGAGGATAGACTGAGGCCCTGAATCTGCACTCTAGAAAGGTGTAGAATTAGAGGGGATATGATTGAGGTGATAATTGGAAGACTGGAATAAATAAAGGGATGTAAATAACGTGTTGAAAATACATAGCCTAGACAGGACTCTTAGCAATGGTTTTGAGTTGGAAAAATTCAGATTCTGGAAGGATATAGGAAAGTGCTGGTTTGGTAATAGTTGTGATGAGTGGAACAAACTCCTGAGTAGTTAGGCTAAAACGTGTAGTTTTAAAAATAGGTTAGATAAATACATGAGTGGGTGTGGGTAGGTGCGAGTTGGACCTGATTAGCTTGTGCTACTAGATCAGCTGTCATGTTCCTTAAGTGAATGTGACCTTACCTGACTAGGTTGGGGCATTGGCTTGAATCGGTGGGAGACTTTGACCTGCTTCGCATGGGCCAGTAGGCCTGCTGCAGTGTTCCTTTACGTTATGTAAATAACTTGTTCACTTAATTTTTTTTCCTGTCGTTTATTTTTCAGTTTAAATACTAAGCTGTTTTGGTTTTTAAGGTTATAATTCATGACTGATTTCTACATTAATTTTTTTGGACTGTCCTAGGTAATTTGCATTGTTACTATGTATCAATGATGACTTGGACACTTGTACAACACTATCTTCAGCCAGTCCTCTTTTTTTTAACACTGGTAGTCTTCCATTGAGGTAGGGTGACCTGAAAAATAAATTTTCATCACTTCACTGTTTTCCCAGGGACAAGACATCACAGCTTAGATGCTGCTCTGAACTGAAATATACCCAGTGTAGGCACTACTTCTCCACTCTAGCACTCCATATTTATCTTTTAATCACACGTCTCTTCCCAACACCTTTGCATTCACATCTTATGACCCCATCTTTAATATTAAACAACCATGGTGACATCCCTGTCTAAGGTCCATTTTTACAGGAAAATATAACTTTCTCGCATACACAAACTTGAGCTTTGCTATCTTCATAGTCTTGACTGCTTTAAGAAGCCTACCTCTTGCCTACACTTGCAACATCTATCGCATTGCTCCCCTGTCCACCCTATCATATGCCTTTTCTAAATCCCCAGATGCCTGTCTACTTCAACGTCAGTTCTTGGTTTACACATCTCC